ATATATATTTTTTATGAAACGGTTAAATATTTCTTTGTTTTCATTCAGACTTTTCTGTAGATTCACTTCACTCAAAAAAAATCTCCTAACGAGAGAAATGATATTTTAGCGCCGTATAATGTAATGGCGAATTTTTTAAGACGACGTAAGAGAAACGTAAAAGAAACAGAAATTACATTTTAAACGAGACAAAAATTTTCTTTTTGTTTCAGTTATCACATCGTAACTGCTGACATTGTATACCCGAAGGACCTAAAACTTGTTGTTGCCTAAAATGTTACTTTCCTTTTTGTTATTGTATTTCCGAGATATTTTAATAATTAAATCATGATTATATATGGTGATTGAGACTTTTTGTTTTACTTTATTTTATGGTGAATAGACAGAGATTATAAGCTTGATCATGCTTTATTCGGAGCATGACCATAATCATCATCCTCCTGCCCTTTATCCCACGTTACGTGGGGTCGGCACAACATGTTTTCTTCTTCCATTCTTCTCTGTCAGACGTCAGCTCTACATCCACACCTTTCTTATTCATATCCTCTTTCACACAGTCGATCCATCTTTTCTTCGGTCTGCCTCTACTTACATATCCATCCACATGCATACCCATCACTCTTTTCGTGGCATGACTTTCGTCCCTTCTCATGAGCATGACCATAATGTTAGTAACAATTTACTTTAAAAGTACTAAAGTACATAATTAAAAAAATATTGTAAGAAAATATGGTATCTTTGACAATATGTACTCATTGCTGCTCCATAGCACCTGTCCCCGTCTAGTTCCGCACTGACTTAGTAGGTATGTAGTATAGAATTCGGTACAGCGCCCCTAGCGGTAACTACCGAGAATGACAAATCTCCATATAAATTCTTAAGCGCTCACTGGTGCATGTGTTAACGTAAAACTTACACTTACCACTCAAGACACAATTGAAGCTACCTTCTGCTATCTGTTTTGTCATATTGGGAGGTTTTTGATTATCATCATCAGCCCTTTATTTCGTCCTCACTGCAGGGGCTCAGTACTTCCTTATGGATGGTTAAGGAGCATGAGCCATAATCCTCCACGCTGCTGGCCCAATGTGGATTGGCGGGTATTAACGACTACAAATGTAGCCGGGACCAACAACTTAACGTGCCTTCCGAAGCACGGAGTAGCTCGAGATAATAATTTTTTGGTCATCCAACCCGTGACCGAGCCTTGCGAAAGTTGCTTAACGACAACGATCGCGTGCCGCGGTGCATATCCACTACGCCACCGAGCTACTCTTATTGAATTACTATTACCATTAATGGACTAAAATGTCAGTGCACTCCCCATTTTTTTTTTCATTTAATGTTGCAAGACTTCCTCTTAGTATTATACCATAACTCTATTAAACGATTTATTAATCCGTTCTGTGATATGAGTCATTAAGTTTATTATTCATCAGACCTCTGATACCCGTTTTTATTAAACTTATTGCATTGTCTAAGGTAAAAATGTGATTCAACAATGACAAGGAGCCACCTAACCTAACGACTTTATGCAACACTTACGCCGGTTGGTACACCAACGCATCGCATGCGAATGTGCAACATTTGCCAAATTTTGTCAATTGTATACCGTTGTTTCGCATGTGCTTTGTCTCGCTCTATTATTATCTCGATGAAAAAGCTTATTAATTTTATAATTATAAAGTAAACTAAAAAGTAATGTATGAAATGTGAACAAACTATTATTCATAGATCACTTTCTATCATTCAGATTACAACACTATTTTTTATTTACGATAAAATAGCAACCCACTAAATGTCAGTTTAGTCAATCTAAATAAAGATTTTTTAATAGGCTGTATGGGCTACGATTCCTTAGTCTTAAATAAAATAATTATTAAAAAATTATTTGTTATTAAAATTCTGGGCGGCAAATTAAATTATCGCTAGTTATTGTCAGTCAAATAGTATTTTGTAAATATTTATTTCACTTCACTTAAAGTAAGTAAAATTATATAGTATATATATGGATTTTTTGCGTTATGTTTTACATGATACTCTTTTTACTCGTAACAAGACAATTGTTCTTGAAATTATACGTTAACGTGAAAAGGTGTTCTTTCTTACTTATGTTTGATTTTATGAATTAAAATAAGCAGTTATTTTACATTCATTAAGTACTAATTGTGTTACTATAACACAAGTGCTCTCGAAAATAAAAAATAAGTTATTGTAAAGTTAAATAATCACTCCCAATCGTTTCAGAATGCCAGCTCATAAAGTAGTGAACGACGAACAAATGGAAATCATGTTAGAATATATGGAACAGGACCCCCGGTTTGCTATTGGTGGGTACACTGGCCCTTTAGCAAAACAAATGGCTCGCCAAAAGTGGGAGCAGTTATCCTCTCAACTAAATACTATTTCACTAGGTGCTAGAAAAAGTGGTGTCAAGTGGCGAGATGTAAGTGCATTTTAAACAGTATAGTGTCAAAGTGTTATTTGCTATAAATTTCCACTCGCATAACAAGTGTGCAAGTTGTTAAATTTATCAATGTGTTATTATGCATTCCCTGTTTTTATTAAACCTTATTATTATTAGTTTTTCTGAATGCTCCTCAATTTATCTTTGCTAGTTCCATTCTGCTAAAGATATTTATAAACATTACATCCACTGTTTGTACTATTTTGCATGCAATAAAGTACATATAAATAAATAAAATGATGTGGTTATTTTTAATTAACACATACAATTTTATAACAGTATTGGTCAGACCGGAAATGTGCAGTGAAGAAAAAAGCACAAGAGAGAAAAGCACAACTATCAGGCACTAGTGATGGCCCAGCAAAGAAAATAGTTTTCTCTCCTACCGAGGAGAGAATACTTGCCCTGATGATAAATGTGGAGGTGATCGAGAATCGGATGTTTCTCCTGTTTCATGCAGATTATGTGTCTGGTCGAATTCTCTTGACCTCATTACCATCACTTGAAATAGCAGTGATAAATTAAGGTAATGTTTAAAACATTAAGTTAAATTATTTTAAAAAATTGGTAATTAGTGGCAAAATGATAATGGTTAGCATTGTACCATACTTTACTATCATTACGGTTGATAATTCAAAATTATATACATTTTTACAAACTTTTCCTGGGCCAATGATCTTTTATAGTAAATAAAACAAGCCCAAACTCGACAGAGTTGCATTATTTAATTATAATATTCCCATGGCCACATTCCACTTCTATTATATCTGATCAAAGTGTCAAGATAAATGCAATCAAACTCTATGGGATTCCAGAGATGATAAAGAAGGTAGCAATGGGATCTCTGTAATTAGATATTTAATTACAGAGATCCCATTGCTACCTTCTATCTCCAACATTAGACAGCATTGTCATCCATATTAGATGTATCTGCAAAATTTCAGCTCGATTGAAAACCAGCCGGTGGATCAAATTCGGCTCCCAGGATTTGACACCATCATAGTAAGTTAAAGCAAACTTGCTAAAAAAAATGTCACCAAAAGGTACAAGCTTGTTATATTCTGTAAAACTTTTAACTTTATTGAATATCATGCCATTCTGTCTTATATCCTTCAATAAATACAATACAATATAATTACTATTTAACTGGACACATAATCTGCTTGAAATGGGTGAAACATATAGTATTTTTTTTTTTTATAATTTGTAATAAGTTGCATTTTGAATAAATGATGTTTATTCAACAGCACATAAGGTTATACAACTCCAATCCATATCAAACATTTACATGTATTTGTTAAAGCTCAGACTAGAAGTTACACATTTTGTGATTAAATAATGTGCTGCTGGTCATCCTTATTAGAAGCAAAATATGTATTTCCAAAGAGCCGTTGATTTGTTTATATATCCAACAATAAGCTAGTCAAATTTTCAATGTTTTGTTTTATTTCCAGAAGCCTGATAAACTTCCCGTATATTCGCCGTCACAGGCATCAGTTGTCTCCATCTCAGGTGCCAGCTTCCCCATCATCCCAGGCACCAGGTTCACCATCGTCAGTTTCTCCATCACCAGTTCCCATATCATTACCAGCAGCCCCCGTATCATTACCAGCAGCTCCCATATTATTACCAACAGCTCCCATATCATTACCAGCAGCTCCTACATCTTTACCAGCAGCCCCTACATCTTTACCAGCAGCCCCCATATCATTACCAGAAGCCCCCATAGTATTTCAGGAGCCGTCATTGTACCCTTTCTCTGTACCACTGTATTCAGCCGAAATCACGCCTGCAACTCAACAACACCTGCACTCGCCGCCCAATACATGCTTTTCAGGTATTTTTTATTGATTCTTTCATTTATTAAATTAACTAGAAAACTAGTTCATGGTGCAGTTTTATTTGATATTGATCTGATTGAGTAAATCTTTCTTCTTAAGTTTGTGTATGTCATCCTTTTACTTCCAGTCTGGATCACCTGTCAATGCTTCTATAGCTGTACAGTGTGCATCCATTAAAATACAAAACATTACAATACTTTAACAGTAAATAGTTACAATGAGGCAAAAAATGTTCTACAGAATGAGAGAAGAGAAGTAAATCACGTTGCCATAGCATGACAAACTGCTACAATAGATTTTGACGCCCATGCTCGATATATTTGTCTCCTACGTGAGGTTGGCAGTAATGTGGTGACGCAAAATGCCATTAAAGTTAAGAAGAAGAAGAAGATTTCAAAATCAAATAAGGGTATTTATCAGTTTGGTATAAACTAATAAAATTCTTTACTTGATTTTGACAAGCCGTTGAAAATAAATGTGATAAAAAAAATCTAATTTAGCACAGGAATAATAGTATTTTCTGTTGACACCATTTTCTTAAAACATTTAAAGTTCAAATATCACCGAGCCTTCCGTTTTTTTCATATTACGAACACGGGAGACTCGGTTTCATGGGTAAGATCTTTTTGCCTTGAATGAAATAAAAAAAAATTAACAAGTGACATCGACATTTGCAATTCTCATTTTTTTTGTTTACCTACTGATTTTTGAATGGACTATGAACTTTGTGCAGTAGTAAAAGTAATCATATCTTTAATTTATTGTAAATATTATTGATAAGCTTTAACCTGTATTCCTGTATTCTATAAGTGATAATTCTAAGTGATTATACTTTAAAACAATATGCATACTTTAACGAAATTATTTGTAAATAAATGTAATATTAGTGGTAAGTTGTTATTTAATCTATTAATTAAACACCAGCTGTTTTGTAATCACATAATTTTAAAATAATACGTTATTGTTCTAGGCTTAATAAGATGTGTCTCATCACTGCCAAAATATGAAACCTTAACAGTAACAGTTCCAAAGAAAAATGTCTATCACGTTGAGCTCAGCCGTCCTGACAAACTCAATACTGTTAACAAACCTATGTGGGGGTAAGTAGAATTATAATAAATTAAAAGTATTAAAAACATTGTACTGATTGATTGCAACCATGGAACAGATTTTCTTACACCCAGTTGCACAAACATGTTTAAAATTGACATTATTTTAAGGCTACATTAGTGATACAACTTTTCAAATTTAGAACATTCATTAGCGCTTAACATTATCATTAAACTATAGTGGATGTTTGTGTAACTAGTCTAAAATCTAAAGAAATAGCGTGACTTTTCAGTTTTTCTATTGTTCATAATATAAATTTACAATCAGTATAAACAGTAATATTGTTGATTGATCAGCAAAATTTTTCTTTAAAATGTTCTAAGAGCATGTTTTCTTTGATAAGGAATAATACTATCTTCTTACTTCTGTGTCCAACATTTATCTTAAACCATAACTGGTTAAACTAAAAACATATACACATATCAAATATGTTTAAAAAATGCATGTAACTCCCAGGAACATACATTTTAACTTTGTACAAGACTGGTTCAGGTTATGGTTATCTTTAATATATAGAATTAAGAACGTTATAGATGTAGTTGTGATCTGTGAAATCAGAGTTAACTAATACACCTTCATGGTATATAGGAAATAGATTTTGGTTTATAGCAATTGATAATTGAATTTCAGTGATTTGAAGAAGTGCTTTACAGCATTACATCATGAGCCTGAGTGTAGAGTTATCATATTATCTGGTCAAGGAAAGCTCTTTACTGCAGGTAACTACTGTGATAATTAATTTTATAATGCTATTGAATACAGAAATTCTTTATAATAATAATTACATTTGGAATGAGAGGGATTATATATTGATTTCTTATATTTTCATGCATTATCCATAAATGAAACAATTTTTAAATGGTTTCATCAAGTTGTGTATTTTTCTTTTATTGACATTTTAGACCCTTCAACTACAACAAGCTCCAAATTTGGAACTGGTGATAGTTTACAATAGCCTACAATATTTACAGAGTTAATTAAATTAGTCAAATGTATTTTTTTTTAATAATTCAATTTAATAAATGTAAATGTTTTCACAATTTTTATTTTTTTATCATGAATGTGACCAATAGTATTGTTTAAAAGTTGTTTCATTTATGGTAGAGATTATTCTTCAGTGTATTTTTTAGGAATGGTTTGCTATTATGATAAAATTTTATTATTCCAGGTATTGATTTGAAAAGTCTAATTGAGTATTTCTCAGTGGCCAATGAGATTGAAGATATTGGTCGTAGGGGCCGCTTCTTGTACACATATATTAAAGAATGTCAGGTAAAAGATTTATTAACACTCCAGTATTTGTTTTCATCAAACACTTTGTATTCTAATGACATGTCATTGAATATGTGAACTATGTAAGGTTGCTGCAGTGCAAAACATCTGATGAGAGTCTAACATATGGTTTAGATAAAAAAAATATATATGTAATTTTGTATACAATATTCATTTTTCTATATTTCAGGAGAGCATATCCGCACTAGAAGAATGTACCAAACCAGTAATGAGTGTAGTACACGGACCATGTATAGGTGCTGGAATAGATCTTATCACCGCAGCTGATATGAGGTAGGTGTTAATTTATTTTTTTTCTATTTTATTACACTTTTGCAGGATAATTTTGCATTCAGTGCAAATGTCGTATAGTTTATAGAATTACGGAGATGTATTTACATTACATACAAACTGCAGATATATTACTAAAAATCTGTTGTCAACATTGATCAGAGTAGGTACAATTAAATGTACCTTTAATAATAAGTATGACCTGCCAAACTTCTGCTGCTATAACAATAAATACTTAAAACAAATGTGATTTTGTTTGCATAGACAATGATGTGGAATCGGTCATGCATTTGGCCAGTTTTTTTAAGCTTATTTCTGCAATAAAAAAAATCTGTAATAAAAAAATAGTAAATTTTAGATGTAACCTGCGGAGTAACGCTTGAAGACTAAATACTAAATGAGTCAAATAAGTTTAATCTTTACTTTTTATCATATCAGTAAGATACAAAACAATTGGTTTATGTCGTCCCTTTGAAGTCTTTTTTAAGTGTCGGTATGTGTATAGCATTGGTTTTAACTTTCTTCTGTATAGACAAATTTACCGATGATACTCATAAAACGGTATTATTCTATACTCCATTTACTATAGCATTAGACAAAAGTAAATAAGATTCTTTCGAGGGTATACTTTGTTACAAAATAGCAATTATTATGTTACTGTTAAATTTGACGCCTTTTTTACTATAAATCAATTTATTTACTGGATGTCATAGTTAACTGTTATCGTTTTAATTATCTATCATATAAATTTATGAGTATTTGGATAAAATAAATGATATATCTATTGATATAAAAAGTATCTATCTTTGAGAACCTTAAGAAGCAGGGATGGATAGTTTCGACACGATTCTTATTTTACTATTAGTCAGTTGCACAAACGTCCATTTAAGTTTAAAATCGACTTTATGTTCTAATAAATGTCATATTTGTATGGTAATGTCGCTTTAAACTAATGAAAATTTTAATGGACTTTTGTGCAACTGACTGTATAACTCTACCGATTTTAAAATGTCGCCTCATCCCTTCATACGTTACTGCAGTATAGCTGTTTAATTTTGTTTAATTATGATATATTCTTATTTGTCAAAATACATAATCTGTTTTATTTATGTTTTGTAAGAAATTTAAATAAAATTGACTAATTTGATTGTCTATTATAAGGTTATTAATAGTTTAGTCCTGTTAATTCTGCATTAATCATTATACACTGTCTTGAAGAAAATATGAGCTTAACATTTCAGTTCACTCTATGATTTCAAGTTGTCAATGAATCAAAGATATACAGAAATTGCCAGCCCCATCTCAACATCTGGGCGTGTGAAGAAGGGAAATTGCCCGGCTCTTTCAGGCTACGGAGTCTGATATTGTTCGAAGATAATATTGTTAGTTTTTATCAAAACTATTATAATTATTAACTTTTTAAAATTTATCTTGAAAATAAAATGTTTTGCACTCCTGTTTCTTTGATAATTTTTTACTAATGTTTTCATTTTATACTATTTTTGTCATATTTGCAGATACTGTACGGAAGACGCATGGTTTCAAGTGAAGGAAGTGGCTGTAGGACTAGCAGCCGATGTGGGAACATTGCAAAGACTACCAAAAGTAAGTTTAATATTATTTTTTTAACAATAATTGGGTATTTAATGATTACTGTCTATCAGTCTATTAATGGGGCTGGGGCTGGTTTTCCGTATGGATAGAATTGAATCGAATAGGGAGAAGAGTCATGCTCACCACACGGGCCTATTACGGATTTGTGGGTGTTACCGACTGCAGATGCAGCCGGTACCAACGTATTAACATGATAACGGAATAACGATATACATCGCCAACCTATTAACATCCCCACTGCTGGCCTGAATCCCGGCCTTCCCTATCAAATTGAATAGGGAAAATGAACCATGACCCACTACGCGGGCCTAGTGCGGGTTGGTGAGTGTTAACGACTACAGATGCAGTTAGGAAAAACTGTTTAACATGCCTTCTGAAGCATGGAGGAGCTCGAGATAATACATTTTTGATCACCCATCCTATTACCGGCCATTGCGAAAGTTATTAACAACCGTTACAAACGATAAACAATTTGCGTTTAATTGGCTATTTGTCAATTTTGCGAAAAATGTTTTGAAACTCACATAAACATATTAAACGACTATTAGATTTATTTTTCTCCAAAAAGTGATACTAAATAAAGACAAAACACAATTTTCCCCCGAAATCCGAGTCGTGACGAATAAACATAAGTTTATTGAAATGTGACGTCACGCGATGCTCGGACATGGCCGCCCGCGTTTCGTTCCTTATAATCTTCATATTATAAATCGCAGGTTAATTTTGCAAAAAAATAAATACATTTTTTTAAACCTAAAATTACCATTTTCAACATATTTCATGATGAATTGTTATTGTCGAGTAGGTATTTGAATAACACATTTGTATCTCAATATAATTAGTCTACCTTTCTCTTTCACACATTCCAATTTCCATTTTGATTACTAATAAATCTTTGTAATAATACTGCTATGTTTACGTATAAGAATATAATAACGAAATAAGATAAATTGTTTTGTTTTCCTACTGTAAAAAAACATACAAGAGCACTACACATAGAAAGTTCGTCTTCATCATAATTAAAGACATTTTATTTTCGGCAAATATGCCTGATTATATAATAAATTTAAAAAGAAACTTAGTAATACAGATTTATTCAACTTTTATTTATCAAGACAACACAATTAAATAAGTAATTATATTTAAATACTACACCGAGAAAGGTACATTCAAAATATCGATTATACAAAGATAGAATATATCCTTTTATGACGTCATAATTTAGTAAACCGTAACTTAATTGTTAGTGAAAACAATATTTATAACTGGAGAAAGTTTTGATTCCCCTCAATGAATGCAAAATTAATTATTTCAGGTAATCGGTAGCGCATCTACAGCTAGAGAACTATGTTTTACAGCAAGAAAATTCTATGCCAAGGAAGCTTTAGAGATAGGACTTGTCAGTAAAGTGTTTCCAGATAAGGAGAGGTGAGATATACAGGAAAAGAAAACAGTAAAGAAATCTTTAAGTTTTGTTTGTTACTGTTAATTATACACTTTGATCTTCTTTATTTAATCTACTAATATTGGAGATAAATAAAAAAAGGTTCTATAAACAAGTCGCAACTTACGTTATGAGCTCCATTATACAATACGTTCCATATAATATAGCGAATGGTAAATTTTTGGTTACGCAGAGTTGGTTACCATCACCTCTTATAGCAATGTTTGATCAGTGCAGCGAGCGAGACAGCGCTATACGTAACAATAGTCCCGCTTGCTGCACGGATTAAGCATTGCTAGTAGAGCTCATGGTTAACCCCATAATGTGTCCTTGCCCCAGATCTAGGAATTACAACGAAAATCGGACGTTCGATTAGACGTTAGAAATAGAATAGACTCTTAGAAGACCTACTTTGTCTCTCCAAAAACGAAATTTCGACCAAAGAAACCCATTTTTTCGATGATATATTATGACTTTAAAATAAGAGGTACTACCGTTAAATTATAAACGGTAGTACCTCTTATTTTAAAGTCGAGGAAATACTTTTGTCACTATCTCTGTTACTTGGCAACCGACGGGGGATTTTTCTGAGGCCTACCCACCAAAACCCGTACGGTGTACCCTCTCGTGGGAGATCAGACCCGGGAAGCCATGACCGAGTGAACACGACACTTCCCCCCATGTATTTAATAAGATTTTCACCTTTATCGAAAGCTTAAAATATTTGTGGAAATATTTCCTTCGGCTATTTGAGTGAATTGCCTGAACATTGATGAAAATACGCTTTGTAGTAGCGAAAAAATGACAAGTGCTTGGAAAAATTCGTCAGTCCTGTTAGTTCCTGGGTAGCTCAGTGGTTAGAGCAGTCGCCCGGATTGCGAAAGGTAGCGGATTCGAATCCTACTCCGAGTACTAGGGACAAAGTGGATTTATTAACCATTTTTTATTTATGATAAGAACGATTCTAAATTTTCCGAATATTCGCTCATGGACAAACAGAGTTGGTCCGCAGGTTTCATGTTAAGATAAGATCTTTATTTGCCAGAATACAAGTCATTGAGGTCAAAAATAATCAAACAAGTACAGTATTCTGCCTGCGGACAGGCGTGCAAATATTGTTATTATATTATTTAACTTATTACATTTCTTATTATCATATTATTTATATATTAAACAACTCATTACATTATAAATTATTATCATTATGTCATGGTTTTTTTTTAAAGCTAAAAGGTCTTAAACGCTATAAAAGCAGTGTTATAGAAGCCACTTTGACAGTTTTAATTTAAATTCACTTCAGGCTTGATTTTAATCTTTAATGCATTGTTGGTAGAGATCAAAATCAATTGACGAAATTTGATATATTGTGCCAACCGTGTGTAAATTTATAAATTAATTATCGTCCATAGTGCCATGTCACACGTGATGGCTACAGCTGAGCAGATAGCCAGCATGAGTCCAGTAGCCGTACAAGCAACCAAACAGAACATCATATTCTCACAAAACAAAAGTAACGCCGAGGGATTAGAACATGTCGTGAGTTTCCTTTTCTTCTTTTCCGGTATTTATTTCTTTCGTCTTTTTTCTATACAATAAAAATTTTCCTAAGTTTTTAATATTAGCTTAGGTTTTCTACCACTCAAAATCTTTTATGCAAAAAACTAGTCACAAAATCGTCTACAAATCACTCATGATCCTGCAGATAATCATCCTCAGGTTCATCAAGTAAAATATTTTATGTTTAAGTCTTGTTTGATTCACGTTTGCAATCACTAGTACGTACTAGTCTTAACTACAAATAAAATATGAGTAGTTTATTGAGTTTTGATAAATCAATTTACTTTTATTCATGAAAGAATATGCCAGCCGGCTTTACAGCGGTTGTCAATGGAGACTTTAACTTAACAAGATAAGTAAGACCGCCGGTAAGTGTCATCTAGTTTCGATAATTCGGCAACTATTTTTTTTAAGACTTCCTCGTTGTCAATCTTTCATCTTAATGTTCAACTAACTTTACAAATATAATCAACCAGCATTATAATAACTGTCAACCAACTTTACAACAATTGTCAACTTTATAATAACGGCCAACCAACTTTATAACGATATAGGTATTATTGCTGCAACGTTCTGTTATCAGATTGCAATAATAGCACACGTAGTAAGAAGTAAAAAAAAAAATTACAAACGTCATACACAGAGTAGTGAGCAAAGTAGAAATTTAATATGCTTTTTATTGTTTATTTAGAAAAAGTAAATGGTAATTCATAAAGAAAAAAATCAGAAGCACATAATTTCTGTATATTTTAAAATAAGAGGGAAGGGAATTATTAATTTGCAAAAAAAGCGAAATATTCGAAAATGTTTTTTACTTAGTTCTGCTAGTGTTGCTATCTACGCCGAACTTTGATTAATATTCGCACTGACAACTCTGTTACAATAATTGTGAACTAAGCTTTACAATTATTATCAACCAAATTCACAGATAATTGACAATTTTTTTTTTTGGCAGGCATTAATAAACATGGTGAATCATCAAAGCGAAGATCTAGCAAAGAGTGCCATTGCTATGGCATCGAAAGGAGAAAAGCCGGAGTTCGAAGATTATTAGAGAAAGTATTATATAACACAATCATATAAGTGTTAACCTTTTTTTATAATAAAGTTTTATCTTTTTATAATAAAACTTTTAAGACTGTTTTACTATGTTTTTTTTTTTCTTTTTTTATTCCTCTAATCATCAGTTACCGGATTGGGTAAAATATGTAGATTTTAACTGATTTTCAATAAGAGGTTATGACCCCTACTCGTATGTTGCTATATTATTGAATAGCGGGCTGATTTTAATATCTCGTCGATTAAGTCAAGTTCAAAAGGATCAAATTACTAATTCGATTTATATTATATTTTAAAATCGTTTAAAAATCATAAAATTTGACTTTAGTGTGGTGTCTGCAAATTAGCCTTTTTCCAAGTAAGCAAATAACCTTTAGATATCTCAACACTACTACTAGCTACACATTTTGTAGATAGATGTTTTATAGACAACTAAGAAAGAAAGAAAATACATTTATTGACCACATAGGTTGATACAATAATTATTTAACTTAAAGGTAAAAACATTTATTTAAAAATGGTGGCCAATCAGGACTCTGCCTCAGCAAAAGCCATAAAATTAAGTAAGATGGCCGTTTGATGTTGGCCTTATGACTTTAACTTTAAGTTATCTTTTAGGGCCACTGCGCTAATGTGCTGCTATGTGTACTATAACTGCGTCAGAATTTCGGTTTAAACTTGAGGTAATAATTTGGTCACCCATCCCATGATTGACCTTTATGAAAGATGCTTTGAAAACAGAAACGTCATAGTTTCATTTGTTTTGACTATCGAGATGACACTCGTTTTCCTCTTTTAAAGATTTTATTTTTCATTAATCAAATCCTCTAAGATAAAATCTTACTGTCATTATAACCATAGATTTATAAATATACTAGCTTTCCGCTAGTGTCATAACTGCTATTATAAATTTATCTATTTCTACAGGCACTTTTCCAACTGAATGGAAACATGCGCTAGTAACACCACGTCCTAAAATTGCCCAACCATCTGAACTTAAGGATTTTAGGCCTATCAGTGTCCTGCCTTTTTTGACCAAAATTTCCGGAGAGGGCTATACACAGCCCTCTCCAAAAATGTTTCAGTCACTCAACTGTACAGTTATCTTGAGCATAGTGGCGTTCTGCCCAGACTGCAATCAGGTTTCCGTCGCAACCGTGGTACATCCACCGCTTTACTAACGGTCAGTTGTACAAACACCCATTAAGGTTTAATGACGCCTTTAAGCTTTAATGAATATTAAATTTGTATGGGTAAAGTCACTTTAAACTAATCGGAAATTTAATTAACGTTTGTGCAACTGGCTGTTAATGTTGTAGATAATATTCTCTCTCAACAGTACATTGGTCGTCGCTCCATCCTTGCACTACTCGATTATTCGCGCGCCTTTGACTGCATTAACTTTCGTCTTCTCTTATCTTAGCTCGAGTTCTATGGCTTAGACGACCTTTCAGTTAAATGGTTTTCAAGTTACCTTCTTCCACGGTACCAATCGGTAAAGCTACACGGAGACCCCGGAGATCACTCGATAGAAATGTCAGATTCTAGAGTAGTTACACGTGGTGTGCCCCAGGGTTCCATTCTTGGGCCTCTCTTGTTCATCATTTATATGGCAGATATAGTCAGCGTAATAAAAAATTGTAACTATCATTGTTATGCAGATGATGTGCATTTGTATATATCAACATACCCGGCGTTAACTCAAGAGGCTGTTTTGAAATTAAACAAGGATTTATAGGCGATCGCTGACTGGTCCAGTGAGAATGGTTTGGTTTTGAATCCCTCTAAAACTAAATTTATGGTTATTGGCTCGAGAGCACAAGTGGATGCCATTGTTGCTGCCAATCTGGCCGTGTCTATTAGACAACATGCAGTGCTGAGGGTCGATGAGGCGCGCAATTTAGGAGCAATTTTTTTAATAGCCAATTGCGGTTCAAGTCTCACATCTTGGGTTTGGTCAGAGCGTGCATGTACCGTTTAAAGACGTATTCGCAATTTTCCCAGTTAGAGTACTCGCATAACACTATGTGAGTCTCTTATTTTGTAGAGGCTTAACTATGCTAATGTGGTGATCGACCCTCGCCTGCTCTCGAAGTCTAGCCGACTGTTTCAGCGTGTACAAAATGCGTGCTGTAGATTTTGCTTTCGCGTGCCTCCTCGGGCTCACATTACACCAATTTTAAATTCGGCAAATATGCTTTGTTTGGCGTCACGTACGCAACTGCACCTGGCGTGTCTGTTGTTTAATGTCATAAAGCATCAACAGCCTGAATATCTTTACGAGAAGTTTAAATTTTTCAAATCATCCAGTAAGTACATCATAAAAGCCATAAAACCAGAACTGGTTTGTTACCATCACCGCACTGCAGCATTTAGGGCAGTGGCGTAGCTAGGTAACCTAGGGCCCTGGGGCAAATAAAAGTGGGGCCCACTGCTATCAAAACTGGTAAGGGTGTTTGAAGTAAAATCGTTAATACAAATACATTAAAACGCTAAGCAACTTTATCATCAGCTCTTTTTCGTGCATGGGCAGGTAATAAAACTATTAAACACTAACAACATCAATTTCAATTATTTTTATACTTGGTGTAGGTATTGGGCAATAAAACGAATTAGAAAATATTCAAGGGTTTATTATATATTTATTTATTCATAGATACGTTGCACCAGCTTACTGTTATTTAACCTATCGCCATGCAAGCTATTTACAAAGATTAGTACTTGCAGAAGGCTGACTAAAAAAACTTGTCAATTTTGGGCAATTTTTGTTTACTTTCTTCTCTTTTTTGGCGTTGTTTGCGTTTCAACGCACCACTGGGTTTCTTTTTTTTTCCATAATAATAGTTTTTCTAATTTATTTATGCAATATTTATGTAAGATTGTACTTAAGTAGGTACTCACTGTTCACTGACAACGCTTCTAGTAAAAGGAAAGCGAAACGTAATGATACGATACAAGACGTCGTTGGGGAATCCCCGGCAAACATTTTATCGCCGCCAGTTTTACCACATTTGACGGTTTAAAAAATGACAAAAAACATCACGCAATTAATGGACGGCCCCCTATGGTATTTTAGCATTGTAGCGACGGTATTATGAGTTATATAGTGAGTAGCCGAAATCTATAGATTTCTTTACGTAACTATGTATACATACTATAATCAAATAAAATTGAACTTTTGTATGGACGCTTACTTACTTACTTATTATACTTACTTACTCCTGATACATTAACTTTTTAACCATTCTCGAAAAAAAATCTTGACTCGAAGTTCACAATCGCGAATCCCAAAAAACGGATATCGATAAATAATAATATGCAGATATTGATATCCGACAAATTGTGGGTTGACAATCAATATCTACTCTAAATTATTTGTGTGGGTGAACACTGTCAACCCACACAAATAATTTAGAGGTATTCCCTTTTTATAACTTTGGAATTTCTCACAACTGAGTTGCCATGATTTAACTCGAGTTGTCACCTGCCATATTTATTATGGAAATGGGAGAAATTTTCAAAAGTTGAGTTCGATTGAGATTTTCTGATAAAGATTCGAGGGCCCCCTGAGCTTGAGGGCCCCGGGACACTGCCCCGCCTAGCCCCTTGGTAGCTACGCCACTGATTTAGGGGTAGGTTCCGATTCCAGGCCACAAAGTATTGGAATGATTTACCGCCCCCTTTGAGGAGACCTACTACAATTCATACTTTTAAACTTAGAACCCATTTACTAGTTCTTCAAAAAACGCTTATGCTTAAACGGATGTTTGTAATTAAATTTCCCGTGCTACCTTTTTGTCACTTATATTACTATTTTGACATTATTCTTATCAATATATATCTGACTTCTAACACTATACTATTATTTATTATGGATTATACTTGACATGCCTTTTTAATTTATTATTTTTATTTCCCGATATATATTTTATCGTACTATTTTTATCTCTATTTATATTAATTTTTGACATCATAATATCGTGATACATCCGAATCATTAAAAAAATAAATATTTTGTTCCCGCTCATCTCATTAACGGGATGGCTGAAAACCGGTGCTTCATCTGTATTAGATGATTTTAGACCCTTTTCTCAACTGCTGCACACAGGTATATTTCTGCTTCTTGTTCTTCTTTGTTTCTTTTATCGTGTGAATGTTTAGTTTTGTGTTTCTGAGAAATTAACTTTTTATCTATCTATCTATCTAGTGGCTTCACCCGCGTGGTTCATAGGGAACTGTTTATTTGGATATTGATATATGAACCGATGACACATTTATACTTAAAATGACAAATTCAATAGTAAACAGTGTTTACTATGGCGATGTATTAATTCCCCATACAAACTTCCACTCTCATTGTCATCCCTTTATTTGCTCTTTTCGGGATAAAATGTAGCCTATGTTCCAGTGGCGTAGCGTGCCTTGGCTGGGCCCCGTATAAAAAAATATTAATAAAGGGAAAAAAATATGGGAAAACTTTTCTCTCAAAAAAATATGTATAAACTGTGCGAATTTTGATCGTATGTAAATCTATTATTGTGGGATTCCCTAGTTGAAGTAAATGACTTAAACGGAAAAATCCCGCAGTCGGTGAAAACCGATGCACAGTGATGCCAACTTCCAAACGCAGACTACGCGGGAAAGAGAAATTGCTTTGGGAAGTTTTTATTAATTTTTATACGTGGCCCGGGAGCCCCGTATAATTGATACGGCTGTAGCTACGCCTCTGCTATGTTCAACGCATATAATGTAGCTTCCCGTAGGTGAAAGAATGTAGCACTGTGGCGTAGTGGAAAAGCGCCGCGGCCCGCGAGCGTTGTCGTTAAGCAACTTTCGCAAGGTCGGTCATGGGATGGGTGACCAAAAAATTATTATCTCGAGGTACTCCATGCTTCGGAAGGCACGTTAAGCCGTTGGTACCGGCTGCATTTGCAGTCGTAAATACTCTCCAATCCGCATTGGGCCAGCGTGGAGGGTCATGATCCATCCTCCTTAATCATCCATAAGGAAAGCCTAAGCCCCTGCAGTGGGGACGTAAAAGGGCTGATGATGATGATGAAATTAAACCTAACGTTCCACCTTCACATTCGAAATGGTAAACAAAGAAGAGAATTTAAACATTACGCTCCCGCAAACGGCCTCGCTTCATTAAAACATTTTCCAAGGCTTTAATTAACTTGAAATTATTGAACATACATGCTTTATTTAAAGTAGGTGAGAGGTGTGATAACTGGAGCCTGGGTCCTACAGAACTATTTCTTAGCTTTTAGTACAACAATGATAATAAAACAGTTTAAATTATATTTTTTTTAACATAATTTATTTTCACATTTTTAGTTTTTATGTTCATTTAGCGCCTCATTATTACACGGTTTCTTTCCTGAGAAATAGATTTTCTGCAATCTATTTCCTCAATACATAATCTTTCCATGAGACTATTCGATTTGCTATGCAGTATAGAAATAGAAATATTAGAACAAATATGAAGTCTAGTGGCCGCCAGCGACTTCGTCCGCGTTTTCCATTATTTCTTCGCTCCTAATAGTTACAGCGTGATGTTATATATCCTAAAGCCTTCCTCGATAAATGGTCTATTCTACACAAAAAGAATTTTTAAATACGAACCAGTAGTTCTTGAGATTTTCGCGTTCTAACAAACAAACAAACCCTTCGAAATGAAAATAGCTTTATTCTTTTTACAAGCACTTTTGAATCGTCCAAAAAAGATTTTTTTTTCCCTACCACTTGTTCAGGACGTCTTCAGCTTTATAATATTAGTATAGATTTGAATTTTGACATTTTTTTTACCTTTAAACATGTATTAAATTGATACCCATATTGAAAAATTAAAAATATTTAACCGGCCGTTTCTTTGACGGCCATCTTGGTTTAAAATATTTTTTTTTACCCTCAAGACGATGTGCGAATATTAAAGTCGAAATACAATTAATTGTCTGATTTTATATGAAAAAAAAAATCAAAAACTAAATTACATAAAAAATTGCGAATATAAAATCATAGTCATATAAGATACAATAGGTTCATATTACCGAAATCAAAACAATTATTCGTAGCGCAAACAATTTTGAACCTAAATAAACAACTGCGTGGTCTATAGTTGTAGAAAGTGGAAGTTCATAACAAAATTAAGGGAATCATCCTTTTTTCAGTCGTTCCATAATTGAACTTTCCCGGATACTATATGACTTTAAGGTAAATAAGATGTTCTGCCCTTTGTCTCAGATTAAAATTTTATCATAATAAATAATATATAACCGGCCATTTTGTTAACGGCCATATTAGATTTTAATATTCACTGTGAAATGTGTTCTACTAGTCATTTGATACTCATATTGACGGGGTCGTGACAACATTTGTAAACCGCCACTTTGGATTTACAATGAAATATATATTTTTTTAATTGTATTATCACCAGATCTAAGGAAGTGTACCAAATTTCAGAACAATCTGTCATTATGTAGAATGTCAAATTTCAATTACTAAATTTGACCCAAACAAATAATTACCGCTTAATAAAAATACGTGTTTAATAATCTTAAATAATCTACCTGACGGACAGACAAAAAATCATCCTCATCAAGGGCGTCGCCAGCTAACTATGTGATCGCCTAACTTTGTAGCGCGACTCTAGTTATAGGATACGCCATCTTAGTGACGTTATAGAAAAATTTTGTTTTATTTTACTACTTCAACATGTCTTTTTAGTGTTAAAGACTTAATTAGTAACACAGCTGTCAAATCCATTATAATCATACTCAATAATCCGTTCGTCGTTAAGTACATATCACTTTGACAGTAATATAAAACCAAATTAAAACGAAAAATTGCTTTAACATCGCTAACATGTCGTACCTTTGACTAGAGTTATAGATAGAGAGTTAGGTTCGAGCAAATTAGTACTGTGCGGGATAAGCAAAATATGACTTAGTACCTATAGGTCAAGAGCCTTACACTATTCCACCTGTTTATCCAATTTTAAATTACAACTATTTTTCTACATAAAGAACTTAAATTAAAATGTGGAATAATCTATAACAAAGAAAAATAATCACTGACATACAAAATGTACATTTTATATAATCCAATTGAGTTAAAAACAGAATACATTCTGTAATTTATTACAAAGATTTAAAGTTAAAATTATGTTCAGAAAGTGTACCCTCGTAACAAGCCTCCTTGTATCAATAAATTTGGTGGAGTATTATGTTATCCAGGTCACATAAACTAGGTTTCAATGAGGGCCTTCTAGGAAATAGAATATAGTGCATACGTCATGTTCTGACGTCAGAGCGCAAGGCCGGGTAATATTGGCAGTTAAAAAAAAAAAAAAACAAAATAAAATGGTAAACAGATAAAATTAAACAAATATTCAAATTCCCACGACTTCGACTTTCAAAACTAACTGCTGATGAAATAAGGTTTGAAATCTACCGCAATTTATTTATTTTCAGAAGCATGTATCAACAGCAATATTGTTTTAAATAAAAATTACATTTATCGCATTTTATAAAAATAGTAAAAAGAAAATATTTAAAAAATCTAATATTCATTCCAGAAGACTATAAATTACCTATTTGTTTGTATTCAACAAATAAACAAAACCCGTATCTTATTTAAAACTATTCTAAAATAATTAAAAAAAACTTTAAACTTGAAAGATTTCAATGCAAACAACACAAAAACTCTACGAAAACTTTTTATTATTTCTTCATTCAAATTGAAGACAAAGAACATTCTTAATTAAACTTCAGAAAAAGTTATTATTTATGACTGGTTAATTATTTTCAATAGTGCACACAATATTTTGCCAAAAAAAATTAATAAAATCCCGGCTCTACATTATATTAATATGGTAAATCTCTGACGTCACCACGGGATCGAACTACGTCACTGTACAGGCTAGCAACAAAGAAAAATCAGGTAACCTACTTTATGGAGGCTGCATCTACGCTGCTGCGAATGACCTGCCCAAAATAGAGCAGCTATTAATAGAACAGAACCTAGGGTCTACTATCCAAGCGCCGCCTGTGAATGGTGCAAGGAATCTACATCTAGGGCACACTGCAATGATTTGACCTATTTATTTTTCAATGGGTCGGTGCATGAACGGGCATGGGCTCATTGCGAGCCTTGCTTCATTCAGTAATAGTCGAACCCCCGAGGCCGGCGTGACCTAGTTCGGTGGTACGACAATTTATACCGGTTTTTCCCGATTTACATCGCTAAATTTAATTGAAAAGTGATTTTTCTTTAATGTTTTTAGTGATATTAATGTCGAGAAATTTAGTTTTGAACTAAACGCGCTGTGAAGTGAGGGTGCGTTAAAAAATATTCTGAAACTCTACATTTTTTAAATTTGCCGCCATAAAGCTCTTTTAACAGCGAACAGTGTATATTGGTTAATTCTGACAACGCATCTCTGTGATTGGTGGAAACCGTATAGCCGAGTGAGATAGCCAATAGCAGCGCAGGTAGATGAATTTGCGCGCGACCGACGCGCCACCTGTCGCACGCTCCTCTTGTGTTCATTGAAAAGCCCAGACTGTTTTATTGACGCACGCGCACTGAGGCCCAACAAAGGGCCGAAATAAGAACGGTTTGCAAGTGAAACTGATGTATTTATGTCATAAAAATGGTGAAATCTGTGAAGTGGCGAGTAGAAATTAGGATATTCGACGTGTCGAATCATGACCGAGGCATCTGAAAAGTAAGTGGTGTGATAATAACTCAGTTTTTTGCAAATTGTGCTTCGCCCTTCTATGGGCAGCGAGAGCCTTATCCCGGCCATTTTCCATATATCACGGAATGTGTAAAGTGATATATAGTGTTCTATGGGATACTGTGAGCTTCGCAGAAGCTAAAACTGGGCTTATACATTAATTTTAAAAGAGAGGACTCTCGAAAATCTTATACCGTATACCGACGACCGCCGCCCTAGGGTCACCGTGGCCCTGTATAGCTATAATCAATGAGTTGCCGTTTCATTCACAATAATGTAGGCATCTTTCGGGGTCATTTGAAGCTAGACTTATTCAATACAAGTCTAAACCTGAATGAGTGGTTGTTCCACACCATTTCAGATATAAATTTAAGAATACTACCTGTATAAATGTTATATATCTTTTGACAGTTGTCAAAAAAATCGAAGTATTTTTTGACGGCCACTTAAGTTCAATAAAATAATTAAAAATGATTACTCATTCATTGTTATCCTTCATTCCCACACATCTTGGCAATTAACATTGTGAACTTATTCACTATGCCTCTTAGATTATAACAGCTGATTAAACTTATTGTTTTTTTTTTTGTTAGTTTATTAGATCATTCATCATGCATTCATGTCAGACTATATATATATTTTTAAATGTTTATTAATTTTATAAAATAAAATTTTTGTTAGGTGTTAGTAATTTACTTACTGAATAGGCGTTTATTTTATGAAATATGACTCTTGTATCAAATATCAACTTTTTTATTTTTCTTTGCGTCTAATATTCTCTATCTACATATATTAACATCTAGGATGCCTAATAATAAGTTAAAATATTAAATTTAAAAACATATTGGGCGAATACTGTAATTTTATTTAAAAACACAATATTTGTAACTCTAATAATAACAAAAAAAAGTGTCTAAAAACAAAAATAAATGTTGATATAGTGACAAAAATATTATTTTTATGATTACTAATAAATTGAGATTGTAATATCAAAAAAATAAAAATTATGCTGTGTTCTTACACTCAGTTTCCTAATTATTTCACAGTTCATTGATTGTCTCTACAATTTATGAAAATTTACAAACTTTCATTATAAACTCAAAAAATTTAAGTGTCAATTACTTGCAGACTTACTGGATCTTCGCGGTTTAATATTAAAAAAACTGCATATAACCATAATCATTCAAATCTGAAAATTCAACGAATTTCACAATGAAATAGTCTTACAGCCAGTTGCACAAATGTCCATTAAAATTTACATTAGTTGAAGCGACATTACCCATACAAATTTGTCACTCATTAGAGCTTAAAGGCGTTTACGAGAGAACTCTACATTTTTTAAATTTATAACTGCTATCTCTACATTTAAAAACTATGATCTCTACAGTCAATGACAAAGAATTCTACAATCAAAATTCTAAAAAAGTAACAAACAAAATTCTAAAATAAAAAAAAGCATATTAAATAAAAAATACTACTACTAAGATCTATTAATTTTAAAGTTGGTATTTTAAAGGAAATCTTAATAAAATAATTATTTGCAACAAAACTTTACAATTTAAAATTGATGAGTGTAGGATAGTTAAAAAAATGAAAACAATAACATAAACCGAAAAATCAAGACTTTACAAATAACTACACAATTGTTGTAGTTTAATTGTGTTTTTGTTATTGAAGAACGCAAATTAAAATTTGATAATTAAGAAATATAATTCATATTTTATTAAGAATTGAGCCCTGATACATTTCAAAAGAGACAGGATTACGCGATGGAAAAAGACAGAAATATAAATGAACAAAACCAAAAAAGCTTATGTTTTGCTGTGCGATTTAAATTTCGATGTTATTACGTAGTTGTAAGGATCACTTAGGTAGATTTGTTAAAAAAAAACAAAATACCTCAATGCTGCCAATGGTGTAGTTTATGTGAATACCTTGCGTCTATTCTTCTTCACACCTAAACCGTTCAAAATAATGGAAGGTATAAAAACTGTAGAGTAGAAAAAAAGGAGTTGGATTAATAAATAAATAAAATTAGGACTTTGATTTTTTTTGTTATTTATGTTCTCAAAATAAGTTTTATTCAAAATTCTCTACCATGCTTTTTACACTAGAAATAAATTGTGTACATTTTACTTTTATTATCTCGTAAGTCTGGTGATGATTGCGTTAAAATGTTCGTGCCAGCTTTTGGTCAACCCCACCTTATCTCAAACAATGCTTCTCTTTTCACCACTCTTTACCCCATTTTTCATTGCGATCCTCTTCCAATCTTACCCTCAAGTTTCCTCATCACACAACTGACTTCTTCTCTTATTCCTTCTCTGTGTACGCTGTCCGACTGTGGAACCCTTTGCCAGAAAACATCAGGAAAGCTCGCTCGCTGAAATCATTTTGCGATCAAGTTAAACACCATTTCCTTTCCAAAACATGAATATTTATCATAATTTACACTTTTATTTAATATATCCATTAATGACGTAGTGAAGAAATTAGACATTGACTTGTTCAATACATCAGCCATTCAGTTAAAACGTATGCTGACAAACTATTATTTCTTAAGTATTGCACTCTTATCGCACTGTTTTTTTTTTAACCATATGTGAAAACTTTTAAATGGCCTTCAGCATATATTGTATTGATATATCCTTAAACACAGCTGTAAGTTTTCTTTAAAATAAATAAAAATACTTCCTTTATATTCCTTATTTAAGATATATCTATAATTTCTTTTATATGTTGCACCCATTACGCCACATTATTTATCTATTTTCCTACATATGTTGCCTGGAAGATATTGCTATGTAGCAATAAGGCCGCCTTTTTGTATACTTTTGGTTTTTCTCAAGCTGTGTAATTTGTTACTCGTCTTGCGTGTGCAATAAATATTATTATTATTATTATTAATTTCGAAAATGTCAATCCGTCAATCTGAGGGTAACGATCTATTGAAGATAGTCGAGAGAATTTTTTTAACTGCAAATTTGTTTCGTCCAAAATAACATTCAAATGAGCCGTAATAGAAAATAAGCATACTACATCATTTTTATTTCTGTTAGTCATAACGTGAATTTTTTAGATAAAAGACCCCTAAAATTCTGAATTTTTCATTTCTTTTCGAAAAGATTTAATTAAATAATATGTCAGTTTGGTTTCGAAGGCGAGTATACTCTGTATCTATCTATTCTATCTCATTGACACGTTGCTTTCGTTTCGTTTGTCTTGATTGAAGCAAGGCGAGTGCTTATAGTGCGAGAACATGTATGAGGGGAACATATTACATGGGAATGTAACAACAGTACAACCAGTATGACAATTTTAACCATTTCTGGATATAAATAACTACGCTGCGCTTTCCATACACTTAAATAGTTTTTCTGCAGCAAGCGCAACCGAGATGTCACAGTAGGGTTGCCAATATCTCTTCAACTAAATACCTATAGCATTTTCAAAAATAAGCTATTAAAAATCAAGAGATATATATGTTGTACCTAACTACCTATGTCATTCCACAGGGTCCGAAAATAAGACAAACGCAATAAGATAAACATCCTATGAAATAAAAATAAATTATCTTATAATTAAATAAGAAAGCACTTATGCATCATTCAATTTTTCTTTTCGCTTAAAACAAGTACCAGTGTAAGAAACTTATCAGCTCTTAGAAATAACAATATTTACTTGTTATATTATGCATACCATATATTTCTCCAACCGGATATTAGGTCTAAAATATAGTACAACAACATGCACTATATATATAATCATATAGTTGGCAACCCTACGGTCACTTAAGATTCTTGTTAAAGTATGCGTCTCTCTGTGCCGTTAATTGATTTTTCCATAGTTACCTTACTGGTCGTACTGTGGTACAACTTCGACTTTATGGTGGTTATTGTTCCAGTGCCTACCTGGTGCGGGTGCGAGCGCAGGTGATGTGTCGCGACGAGGGTACGGGCGGGTGGGTGGCGCTGGGGGGCGGCGGACTCGCTGACGTTATGGTCGGCCGCCGACCGAGACACTCCGGCGCCGGTAAACTATACACCTCCATTTAAGTTTTGATGCCTAATAGTTAATTTGCACTTTGTCAAGTAGCACATACATGTACGGTTTGTAATGGACACATAACAGCAAAGTGCCACCCTCCTTCCATATCTTTAAATGCTTTTGCTTCCTTCGTCACTTTGTACTCGCCTTTTCTACACGCTATTTCCTCCGGGAGCTCTCCCCCTGAAATGCAACTCGAGGCTTTCAGAGTAGTAGTCTCGGTCCCCTTACCACTGACCAAACAGAACGAAAATTTAAACTTCACCGTTTTATAGAACTAGATCTCAATTATAATTAATATAACGTATTTGGACAGCCACTAAAATACCAAGAAAAAAGTAGCAAATACAATTACAAAGTGACAATTGGCAGCATAAGTTCTTAAAAGTTCAAAGTATGCTTTTCATCTCAGTGTTAATATTGTAAATGCGAGTAGTGCTCCTACGGGACGGTTGAGTGGCTACATCTTGGCAATATAGACAGCGTATCCCAATCACTTCTCACTAACACTTTACACTTAACAGCGTAATCGTTAACACGTTGTTTTACTTGTCACTTTAAAAATACAACTAAATTCCTGCATTTCTATTAGTCTGTCCGCAGGACTGGCATCTTAGCCATCGTCAAATCAAATCATTTATTCAGTCCAGTCTGTTACAAGCAATTCTGAAAGTCACAACTCTTACCGAGAAGAACCTACAAGAAAATCAACAAAAACTATTTCTTTTTGTCTTCAGTCTCATACTCGCGTGGGACAGAAATGCACAATTTCTGTTTAAACCTCTAAAAAGTAGATAAAAAGAAATTGAGATCGCGATAAAATGGCATATGCTTGGTTAAGTATACTCGAGTGTTCCTAGAGAAGAAGTAAAAGTAGTGTGCTGGTGTTGAATCTTTTAAGAAATTACTGCTATGCAGTCAATTATCTGCGTGCACACTTTTAGTTCATAACTCTATTTCAATGGCCAAAAGTAATAGCCTGTAGTGCCGCAACGATACGATATGTCTACCTACAGCTTTGTGATATTTTTGCTCAGGAAGCAAAACCCTGCTTTTCAGCCTCCACCAAAGATCTGATGATTCGTTTATTAATTATAATGTGTTATTAACTCCATGTGTAATGAGGTGTGTTTGTGTAAATATGTGCAGGTGTTGATGACAACTCCGACACGACATCTGCGCCTGCGACCGCACTTGCGCACGAATATTACATACACGGGAAACGAATCAGCGACAACATGGTGAGAGGAATCTGTTTCCCTTATTTATTTATTTCTTCTGTGCAAGAAGGTGTATAATATATATTTATTTAAATTTTATTGCACGCAAAACTGTATTAACGGCGCGGCGTACTTCACGAATAAGGAACGCTTTACCAGCAACCAGAGTACTAGGCTCAGATGTGTGGTGGCAGATATCATAATAATAATAAGTATTTCTTATTGCACAATAATAAACAGAAATCTTACATGAAATTTTACAATAGGCAGCCTTATCGCTTGCTAGCGATTTCTGCCACGCTACCTAGCAATGTACGGAAATATAAATATAAAAACATTAACAGCAGATAGTGCATATTAATAGAACACAAAGCAATTAAGCAAGTATACAAAAAAAAATGTATAAGTATTGGTGACAAAACTAATGAATGTACAAAACTTAAAAACAAACAAGCGACTGGCAAAGTGCGAGAAGTGGGAGAGAAAGGGAGGAAAGGAAGATCTTCAGATAGATACAGTAATTTTACTCGCGATGTGAAAGAATCTTAAAGATTTTGCAAATCTGATCGGCACAGATCAAGTAAACCGATATATAGCTAATAAACCATGCACAGGGTATGCTTGAACCTCATCTATATTAATATTATAAAGAGGAAAGATTTGATTGATTGTTTGTTTATTACTTACCTTTCAATAATCATCGGAGCCATCAGAGTGTTTAAAAATCAGTAATATGAAAGACAGTACAACGTTTTTGCAACTAAATTAGTGATATTTGAGTAGTGTAATTCCGCTGGCTTACATTCGCCTTCCTTAGGATCCCCACATATAAGGAGTCTAGATCACAAGTCGGATATGACAGATGTATCACGAGGGAGTACTAAGGGTCCTGTTAGGGGTGGTGAGTATTTTGGAGACTCAATTACGGCTTCCTAAATCTCGTTCCGTATCTCGTACACCGTTTGTGTTTTTGTGGGTGTTTTTTCCGTAAAACTCTCTTCCGTTACCAGGCCTCTTCCGTTACCGGTAAGAGGTCACACCCTCGCCCTGTCGCTCGCCAGGGAGACGGTGCCAAGACCCATAAAAAGGGAAGTTTAAGGAACTCATTGACGCAGTGGTTAGCGCGCTTGGTCTGTGATACAGTTGATAAGCAACTTTCGTAATGGCCGGTCATAGGATGGGTGACCAAAAGTTTATTAGAAAAAATCCATTCATAGAGACAGCCTGAGTCCTAGCAGTGGTGACATTAATAGGATGGTGACGATAAAGAAACAGTATCACTGATCTTAGGCTTTCCAGGACTCCTTAATTCTCATTCAGTCCCATTTCTACTTCCAGGTGGTGTTAGAATGCACTATAAAGAAGGATTTCCAATACAATAAGGTGATGCCAACATTCCACCACTGGGTGACAGACGAGAAACGTTTCGGGCTCACGTTCCAGACGGCAGCTGACGCTAGGGCTTTCGACAAGGGTGTTAGAAACGCCATTGAAGAGTTATTAGACGGTAAGGCTAATAGAGGTGATTTTTTTGAATACAACCGCTTACAAGTAGCATTATGTCTTTTAGGCGATGTCGCATAAACTTGGTATTAAAGGTAGTTTTTACTTTAAGTGAGTTTAACAATTACACTAGTGATGATTAATTTCTGTTTCTCTGTCCGTCGGTTAATTTATTGAAGAATATTAAATATGTATTTTTTAATAAAGCTAAAAATTTATTGATTAAGCTGAAAAAAAATACGTGATAAATATTTTTCATTGATCTACCTGACGGACAAATAAATAAAAATTAGTTAACAACCCTTTCACACTTCAAGTTTGAAATAAAACGGCATACTCATCGTTGTGATACAATTAGGAAGTATTAAAAAAAAAACGAAAGCACTAAAAAAGCACCTCCACTAGATGGCGACTCTAGCAAAAGTTGATTTTTGCAGGAAACGAATGGATCAGTAATTTCCGGTCCTTTAAGTAACATATCAGAAAACTGAAATTTGAAAAGTTCGAAACTTAGATATCAATATAAATACGAAAAAGTACAAATAGAATATGAGTTGTTTATTGGGTTTTGAAAACTAATTTACTTTTAAACAAGAAAGAAAACCGGCAAGGTTGTCATGGAGAAATCAAGAACGTACCGTAGCGACATCTAGTTTGATTTCGGGAACTAATGTTTTTTTTTTCGAATACTTCCTCATTCCTAATGTAATCTGTGAAACGTCTTTCTTTACTGTACTTTTTTACTTCTCTACTCAATAGGGATGGTACCTAATTTTTGTAAGCAAGTCCGTCGTGTAACTGAGGGAAACTGAAGAATATTAAACATGTATTTTTCCATTTACATTGAGTTGAAATGTCGCATGCCGTCACGCCTTTCTTCTATGTAACTGTAACGTAGCGAGCCCCCACTCCTCAACTATCCTTAAGATGTCTAATATAAATAATTTCTTGTTAATTTGAAGGAAAAAAAAGCTACGTATCTTGTTTTTTACCGTGGGAGAGCCACGCTTCGGCATGAATGGGCCGGCTCGACCGGAGTGATACCACGGCCTCACAGAAAACCGACGTGAAGCAACGCTTGCGTTGTGTTTCGTCGTGTGAGTGAGGGTACCGGAGGCCCAACCCCTCCCTATTCCCTTCCCTCTACCCCTCAACCCTTCCTTCTAAGGCCGGCAGCGCGCTTGTAGCCCCTCCGGTGTTGCAGGTGTCCATGGGCGACGCTAATCACTTACCATCAAGTGATCCGTCTGCTCGTCTGCCCCCTATCCCATAAAAAAAATATATATTTTTTTTTTTTTATCTGACTGACTAATTAAATAGTATTTCTTTTTTACCTCAGCGTCATTGCTTTTATATTCTTATTATTCAATTATTTCTTATCCATATGATATTTCATAGCTGTATCTGTCTTTTAGTCGGTTTCCTGTTTTCTTTACATCTCTATATTTATGCTTATAGATAGGCACTTTTTCTTTTTAACCGACTTCAAAAAAAGGAGGTTCTCAGATTGACTTATATGTATCTATTTATGTATGTACGTATGTATGTTTGTGCGAGAATATCTCGCGTTTGGCTGAATCGATTTTGATGTGGTTTTCAATATAGTATTTGTCATGACTTAGGGGAAGGTTTTAGGTATATTAACCGACAAAAAAAATGGAGTTCACACTTTAAAAAAGTATTTTTTTCACATCATATCACGCATGTATCAAAATATAAAAATTTTGATTTCTTTCTGTGAACTAATTTATCTAATGTGCTTTCTTTTTGCCTCCCCTTCCGTATACTGGATTTCTTCACGGTAAGTTAATACTATTATTTTTTATAAATAAAAAACAAAAATGTAAAGTGGAGGAACCAAGATACTTTCATTAATCTTATGAAAATTAACTCATAATTTACTTATTCAATGAAAAGTGAATTTAAATTTCTATGAACAATAAATAGGCTTCAATCACAAGAGTTGATTGTCTAAAGCCCCGTATTCACTACAAAAGTTTGGTGAACAACTGTTAATCGATATTGTAACATTTTCAAACATGCATTGCTGCCAGCAACTCAGCAAAATGTCTCTTCAATATTGTATATAGCATATATAATATACTATATAAAACAATATACATTAGACTTTTGTTCTGAGTGAGAGATAGGGAAAGAAATGTTGAACGATTCAAATATCCTTTAAACAAAATTAATTTGAACAAACGTTTGACTTTGACTTTATAAATGTATATTTTTGTTCAGGTCTGGGTGGGGCGTGGCCATCACTTCATGCGTACAAAAAACTGTATCCAGCACCCAAAGAAGAGGATGAAGAACAAAATATATTCGAGGTAACTTAGAACTGTTGCCAATATATTATAAATAGGTTAGCGTTGTTAAGTAACTTTCGCACTGGCCGACCATAGGATGGGTGACCAAAATTTTATTATCTCGAGCTCCTCTGTGCTTCGGAATGCACGTACGGGCTGCATTTGCAGACGATAGATAACACACACGCGGGGTGGGTCGGTGGACCATTTTCCCTATACGATTTAATTCAATTCCATTCATAGGGGGCGTAAATAGGCTAGTAATTATAATGTTGTCTATCTGTGTGTAACATTCCGTACGAGTGAGGTTTTAATTTTCCGGAAACCCATCTGTTATGTTTAAAAAAAAAATAAGATCCTCATTATATACTGTGGAATAAATTCTAACCAACTATAAACTCAAGAGTAGTCGTTTATATTGTTACATGAGCCTTTTCAAGAGTAAAGTCAAAATACTCTTCAAAGCCAGAGTGAATAAACACTTTTTCATTCCAATTATAGGCATATACCATCATAGGCTACATTACCATCAGGGGTGCGACCGCCTCTATCCATGATTCTGAAAATAGGTTACGACATCTTATCGATGTTAATATTTCGTTTCATTTTACTACTTAGACATGTACTTTAGTAACGACGAACGAACGATAAAGAATGATGATTATGGATTTGATAGCAGTGTTACCAACTTTAGTCATTTATCCCAAATTGATCCACTAAAAGACATTTTAAAGCCATAACATCGTTAAGATGTCGTATTCTGTAGCTAGAATCAAAGCTAGAGATTTAGGCATTCCAGGTCAGATAGAAGCTAAATGTCAACCCAGTCTCTTTTACAAAAATAAAGATATCTTTTCCGGGTATAGTCCGCATTTTAAGCCTCAATTTTAACCAATAATCATCTATATCATAGGTACTAACAAAATTTTACAACCATTATAATATTATTGTGTTAATACTTTAACAGGGTTATTAATAAACAAGGTATAGCATTGATTTATGCTGATACTGCTCTTAGTATTAGTCAAAATTCATATTATTAAACAGACACTTAGCCATGGTCAACTGAGTACGAGATTATACAGGAGTAATATTTACTCCTAGAAAATAATAGGTTTGTTTATTCTCTGTATAATATGAATTTGAACTAATACTAAATTTGCAAATTCGCTGTAAACTTTCTCTGACGATAAACCTTGTTTATTAATAGCACTGTAAAAAAATAATAATGATCTAATATATATTTTGCGTATTTTTCTCGGAATAGTGTCTGAACTTGCCGTCGGAGTCGCGTTCGAGCTCTGAGAACTCAACAGCGAGCCGCAGCCGACGTGACGAACTGACGCAAACACCAATCCTCTCCGCCATCACCTTGCCACGACATAGACCCGGTAATATACAGGGTTATTTATAACTAGCTGTATTCCGCGACTGTACCGATTGCAGTCCATGTCATCCGTATGATGAAGCTTCCCGTACGTGAACGAATTTTTATAATCAGTCCAGTAGTTTCAGTATAAAACAATAATATTCCTCTTTTTAATTTTAATAAAGAAAACATTATCAATCTCGCAGATATAGATAAATATAAATAACGTCAACATTCTCACTATTAGCGATTTAAATCAGAAAAGAATTTTGAACTTTCATTTATAAGTACTTATAGAATTTAAAACACAATAAATGTCTCCTAGCATAAAGTGCTTGCTTAAGTCTATTAGTACTCAAAAGCATAATTATCAAAAAGAAATAAGATACTTACGTATGCTAAAGTCGACGCTGTTGCTGGAGATATCGAACATTACTAATGAAAGCAGATATTAATATTTATTTCTTTATTCATAAACATGGCTGCAATACACTGATGTAAAAAAAAAACAAAAGCACAGCCAAGGTTAAGTAATTTTTTTATTGACTATAAAATTGATCTGATGGAATGAAAAATGAAAAGGCGTGTTTTCTTGGTTCGGAAATGTTGAAAGAATGCCGTATGGAAAAATTATAAAACTGTTATACTGTGTAAGTGTAAAGATATAAAACAGCTGCGTAATCCCCCCTCCACTGTGAGATAGCCTGACGCTAAGTCGGGTCCGCCGAGATGCTGTGGTGAAATCGCACCAGGAACTCACACACCACATTCGGCAGGGAGGGAACACCGAGTGGTTTTAGTGAGTAGACCCCTGCACTTCGATCAGGTGGGCTTTTATCGCCTGATAGTTGTGAAAAGAAGAGCCCCACATAATCCCGCTACCCATTCATAGAGGGGTATGCATAATAAAAAAGGTTAAAAAACTCTTTGAATGTCAACTGCCATAAAACTGACGAAGAAAGTTAAAGACATTTGTAAGTACGGTATCTTACGGTTGTTCTGATCCCCCATAATGTTTTTTATTCGTGCTGCTATCAAAAGCTCATCTTGTTTTCATATTTCACAGAGTCACTGAAACATTATGAGGGGCAATACGAAGAGAAAGGTGTGGACGACTCGGATCCAGACCGTTGTCCATATGTTCACCTCTCGGCGGTAAGTTATCTAGGACTACGTTTAATTATGCAGCCAATAAAAACATTTTGTTGTTACAATTAGTTATAATTATTTTTAATTTACTTTAATTATTTAAATACCGAAACACTTATTACTTTTTTATATAACCGTACTGTTAATAGAAGATCAGCTATCCTTATTATATTAATAGCAATTCAGGTCTAGTGTACATTCAATAAAAAAATTATTCTATTTTCACAATTCATTATCAAGATTTGTGCTTTAATATTGCAAAGACATGCTGTATGTGCAATCCTTATTTTTTATAAACGTAACTTCAAACTAAATTGAAAGATGAAACTGACAATTATACTTATACACAATTTGTTGTTTTCCCATCAGATCCACGACTACACATACCCTCAAGTCGGTTCAACGGTGATCAGTTCTGAGAAATCCTCGCCCAACACAAAACCGCCGTTGCTCAAACGAGATTCTGGTAAGATTCACTAATCAATTATTAAATATTTTTTTCTATATCTAAGTAGATATAGAAAAAAATATTTACCGAAAAGTATAAGTATACTTTTCGGTAATATGGCCATCGATCAACAATACAAGATATGGCATAAAACTTTGTTTTCGTTATACATATACTTATACTTTGCGAAACGTCACAAAACTCTATTTTCAATATCTCTTTTTTCATTGGTGGTGCATAGAAATATTATTGCAATATTAAGGAAATATTTAAAAATAAAAAGAAAGCACCAAAAAAAACACCTCTACTAGATGGCGACTCTAGCAAAAGTTAATTTTTGCAGGAAACGAATATACCAAAGACAGTCATTTCCGTTCATTTTAACTAACATATTAAAAAACTCAAATTTGCAAAGTCCGAAACTTAGATATCAATACAAATACGAAAAATTTCAAATAGGATATGAGTTATTTATTGAGTTTTGAAAACTAATTTACTTTTATACATGAAAGAAAACCGGAACGGTTGTCATGGAGAAATCAAGAAGTACCGTAGCGACATCTAGTTAAATTTCGGGAACTATTTTTTTTAAATACATCCTCATTGTTATAAATGTAAGCAGGTATATAATTTTGGTAAAAGAAACAGTGAAGGTAAACTGAAAATCTTAAGAATTAAAATTTATCTAATGTAATACAATAATAGAACTTATATCTGTTATTCATAGGGTCTATAAAGAAGATGTGTTCTTACGCACCACCACCGCTACCAGATAAGAAACCAGCAGAGACTTTTCAAGCGAGGCTGAAGTGCAGGTATATTACTTCAATAATATATTTCTATTACATACATGTTTGTGAAATACTTAAAAGAACAAACTTCGAAAACTATAAGGCGTACAACTTTGTTCGCGCTGTTTCTCTATAAATGGTTTTAGTAAGTAAGAAAGGTTTAAAATATTTACTTACTAGCTTTCGCCAGCGGCTTCGCCCGCGTGGACCTTAGGAAAATGTTTAGTGGGATAAAAAAGGAAAAAGTATCTTATTATCTCAGTCAGCTAATACCCTATCTGTATACCAAATTGCATTAAAATCCGTTCAGTAGTTTCGGCGTGATTGACGGATAAACATCCAAACATCTAAATATCCAAACAAAGAAACTTTTACATTTATAATATTAATAGGATTAATAGGATAATATCACCCTCATTGATGATATAATCAATGAACTCGATACTACCCTCCATAAAAACCGTTGTAAAGCGTAGTCTTTCTTCATTTTCGTGGATTCGTCGTGGTGTACGGATGTTTGGACAACTGCCCTGCGTTTCTGTGAAAATCCGAACCGGAATTTGAATTCAGGTGTCCGTTTTCACTTCAAAAGCGGCATCCGCTCAACCTTGAATTGGTAATATCATTTAGTGGCATAAGTGAACTGAGTTTGTACATAAGTGAAGTGAAATATATGGGAATAGAATAATGTGAGACACGTACCTATTAATCAATAAAAAATGGATTCAATAGAATTTCTACAATAAATGATGTGAATTTGGACACATCAATGTATTCGAATTCGAGTTCGGATTTTTACAGAATCGCTCTGCTGTTCTAAATATCACTGTTGTCTGTTATTATATTGTTTAAGCGGTTTTTCCTTCAAATTTTTAGATAGGTCATTTGAAGTATCTATATCATCAATTTATCGGCGATTAAATATCTCAGTTTGTCATTCTCCCCCAAATGTTTCACTTTCCTGTTTTAATATGAAAATGTTACCATATGCTCTCAAATGTCTATGGTAAGACCGCTATAAGTGAAAACACTTGTCTCAATTGATTTCAATGCTTCAAAAACTCAGATTTTTTATGTTGAAATTGCGGTATATTGCCGGTTTTGAAAGTGCTGAATTATTACTGAATGAAAACTTGTATCAAAGTCAAAAAGATCGGTAAACAATCAAACTTAATAGATGCAATAAAGTAAAATATTGAAACACAAATGGTTTAACACCATGACAATGCTTCACCCTATATTGCAAAAATCACCAAGAAAATCCGTGAAACATTACAATGTGAAGTCCTACCTGAAACGCCGGACTTTCCAGATGCAATTTCTGATTATAACTTATTGGGATGAAATGGCTCACGGCTTGGCTGACCAATACTTCTAATTTACATAAATAACGTCAAAATATTTTGTACTTTGACGCATAGGTTCATAAATAATTTCAAAATATTTGCCCGAAAGATGCAAGAAAATAATGTCAAGTGTAGATAATACTTCGAGTCTTAATTTAATCTTCCAGTATTTTTACAATAAAACCTGAAATTTAAGCAAAAACAGCTGTGGGCAAAGCGCACCTGACGTGTAATTGTAACCTTACTCACAAAACGCATTTTTATCGTGTACGAAAGTATCGGCAATATATCCTGATATATATATTATTTTTATAGACATTGTCACGAGTGGTATTTGGAGAGTGCTAACAGAGCGGGGGCTTGCGAATTCGCTCCGGATTGCTTTAAGTCTTGCATCGACTGCACCAGCTGTATCAAATGTGCACAGGTACATATTTTTTTTAGTTTTCGAGGTCATGAAATGAGTTTTTATAACATAATAGTAGAGATGCACCGAATAGTGCTTTCACTGAATAACCGAATACTGTTCGGTTTAACCTTTACCGAACCGGCTATTGGCCGAATTCTTCGGTTTACTGTTTTGAAAACAAATTTTGATTTGAAGTTTAAATACTTAGTTTTACTAGCTTTATATAATTATATTATTTTTGTCAGGATTTTTTACTTATAACATAAATCTTACATAAGAAGTTTTATGTCTATTGTCATGTTGGCAAGATGTTGAGGATCGTCAGCTGAACCGACCTATTTTTATACGTTGTCTTTGTTTTTATAGTTTTTTTTTATTATATTTGATTTTTATTTAATTTTTGTTTTGGTATTGACATATGGTCATTATTGATTGTCACGTGCTTTGACGAGTATATTTGTTTTGTGGACAATATAGTTTTGAGAAGATAAGTTGTTTATTTTCGCACCTGTGCCCACACCTCGTCACCCGTTTCGTCGATAACATCAAGTTTTTCTTTTAATAGAAAATAGAAATGTATTCGGCACCAAAACCAAATAATTCGGTCGAATGCAAATAGTGAAAAAGATGCCGAATACCGATTCCAAACGAATATTCGGCACAGTAGCATATTATATATTTCGTATATGTTACAGTGCATGGTGTATCACTGCATGTCGGACGCGGAGGGAGAGTATGCGCTACATCCGTGCGCATGCGCACCGCCCACGCACGCGTGCGCCACACGGTATGTACTAATAAAGGGAATAACATCGACTACTACTGGTAGCAATAATATAGAAGATGACTTATTTTTATTTGTTTGTCCGTCAAGTAGATAATTGAAGTATATTAAACACGTATTTGTCTTATTTTTTGCGTAATTGATAAATTACGGCGATACATTGAGTTGAAATGTCGCGTGATGTCTCGCTTTTATATATTTTCTACAAAACTGTGACATAGCAAGCCCCCTCTTCTCATTTCTTGTTATATAAAGCAAAAAAATACATATGTGATATTTTTATATTATCTAATCTAAAGAAAAATTCCATTTTGGTCCTTTTATAAGGAGCCATGTAGTTCCTTAAGGAACTGTAGTCACTGCGACCTTTAAGATTTATTATGACTCGCCGCCAGAATTATAGACGCTCTTTCAGCCCCCAAAAAGTCTATAATCTTGATTGTAGAGTTTTTATATCTTTTACGCTGGTTATATGTCATCCCAGATATATACTTCCTTTGTGGATCAGTGTTGCACACTCACTTAAGAGATGTTTTGGTGTTTCAAGCTCCTGTTTGCAATATCTGCATATATCAGTGTCATTTAATTTAATATGAAATAGATATCTGTTTAGTTTGCAGTGTCCATTTAAGACTCGTTGATCTTTTACATTCGTGCGCAAAAATATTGCTTTTGCACACACAGTGACGCATCTAGCCAATTATATCGTAGTAAAGTTAACCTAAAACGTTTACGATATCTAACAGTAGGCATAAAGATCAGGTCAGGTATGTTAACTAAACACACACCTATTTCAATACGTTATTACACTACCACATCACTAATTTCATATTTTTTGCTACAAAATCCAACCTTTACGTGGAAACCTTTACGCCGATATTCAACACATTATTATATCTTCGTTTAAGCCACTCTTATTAATATTATCATTACCATTCCAGCTGGGTGGGAGTGACACTTCTAAGTTTATTAGTACCATGCTTGTGGTGCTATCTCCCTCTACGGTGTGCTCATCGCGCCGCTCGCGCAGCGGGATTAGCAGGCGGCGCTCATGCACCAAGAGACTAGCGTAGACATTACACTCGTAGCACACATTCTACGGCTATCGCTACTTCTTCCACTAGTGAAACGGTGATTGCTAGGACGTCCATTTGTACTGCAGTAACTGCTCCGACGTCTACGGTTGCTTTGACAACCACTACGATGTCTGTTAGTGCTACAGCGACTGCTACGACATCCGCGAGTGCTACAGAGAAATGTAATATTGCTATAATCGCACTACAGGACGAGGAGCGATGTAAAACCTGTGCTACAGGTAGTGCTACGCAGTCTAATGAAGAAACTTCTTTTTGTGAAGATAGAAGGTAATAAGTGGTATAAGAACCGTCTCATATGAGACGCGGTGTTGAAAGCAAAGTGGTATACGTAACTGTGCTACACGTAAAATGTGACAGCTAGTTTAATTGTATTCTTATCGATTCGATCATCGATAAACTTACATTATTAAAATGTCCACCTGTAGAGACTGCTACGACGTCTTCTAGTGCTACGGCGATATACAATATTGAGGTAGCTACACCAAGTGCAAGTATAAGATAAAGGCATGCATAGCATGGTTTTATTAAAGAATAGAACAATCTATTATAACATGATGAAGGCGAGATAGAATACGTAACTATAGCTGCAGGTGGAATGTGACAGCTGGTCAGCAAGAGTTATATGCATCATCAACAAAGTGAACATCTACAATTATATCTGTTTAAATCTCGTAGTGGATGTTACTAAAAATATATCGATGATGCTTGGAGATATAGATCTTTTATAATCTGATCGCGGGACATACGCACAGATTCACTTAACTAGTAAAATATCCCCACTGATATTTAAATAGCTAATGTATTTATTATAACTACTGTCAAATGGCAGCTAATTAAAATACGTTATTACTATTACAGTATTCAAAGATGAAATAAATTATTTGAATAGGTAGCAATCGAAAATAATTTATTTGAATGATAAATAAATGGGAATGTTCAATTTGATATAAAAACAATTTCCATACAATATAAAAAAAGAAGAAGGGATATATGTTTAAAAATCTATTGAATATAATTATAGTATATAAATGGAATGGAACGTCTTTGGAGTTTTTGCAAAGCTAAATTAGCTCGTTTTATATAAACGACACGGAATGTTGGGCTTTTGAAGTGAAAGCAAGGAATGACCGTCGAAATATTGTACGTAGTCTTAAGAGTTTTTTAATTCCATCATCACAAGTGATTTGTGAACTTATTATGTGACTTATGTGTTAAAGTGAAATTCATAGCAGTGCGGATGTAAATGCTAGTGTGAAACAATTTTAGTGCAGGCAACAATGAGTGGAGCGAAAAAAGGAACGCTGTGTGACTGTTAAATGTTTTAATATTACGAAATGGAAATATTGTATTTATTAAAAAGTGGCAACACACTGTTATATTAATTGTTTTAAAAAAAAAAAACTTTTTTCGAATTTCGTATAAAGAAAAGTTGAAAGCGGCCAGTATTATTTCAAATGTTAGGGGAGCGATATAAGCCAGTGTTCTGCCATAATGTTGCCACTTTATTAAGGACTATATATTTTTAATTAAATGTTTTTAGCGTATAATGAAAATCGCTTTATCGATTCGCCATAGTTCGTAACTACATTTTTATTATACAAACTTGAAACTATATATCGTGCCATAAGCGTCATGTACATTTTTTCAAATAGCATTTAATTTGTTTTTATAATTAACTAGTTCTCGCGCAAATTTCTGTAAGTCTTCCATGACAGTTGTTGTTACACTCTATAATTTTTTTTATTAACACAAGTAATTTTAAAAACGATTAAATTTGCTTAATTTTTTAATCTCGGACGGTTAAATATTATCTGCGAATTGTATTTGTTAACTATAAATTTAGATTCACAAATATATGATATACAAATGTTAACATATCTTATATTTGTTATTGTATTAACACGTGTATAAGCTTGTTTTGATTATTTTTTATTGATAAATTAAGAGGGACTATTTTGAATGGGTAATCTTTAGATAGTTACTAATTTTCTATTTAATATTAGCACTAGTGTAACGCATTTTTAGAATTATTTTCATTACGGGTAGTATTTGTTACCTAGGACGACATTTTTTCTAATTTATTTGAATCGATTGTCTTTTTTTTTTCAATATTTGAAAGTATTTTTTCGCATAAATTTGTCTATGGTTAGTATAATACTAAATGTATAATGTAAAATCTATTAAATGTAACGTCACTTAAAACAACAATCATATTTATTATTAGTATTAAAATAGTTGAATTAATCCGTTGAAAAATTTAAATTATTATAATGAATGTTCATGTGGGATTTGCATTCGATTTTTAATAGAAATAAGTGTATTGAAGTAAATATTTATAATATATATAAATAAAATCACACATTGTCACCTTTTTTTCTTTGTGATTCCAAATTTTGTCTAGTCTACGATGGATCAGTATTCTTTTTTTTGTATGTAACCCATTCGATCACTTATTATTTTACTCATTCAGTTAATATAAAACGACCAAGTGTTTTTGTATATTTATAAATAAGAATTGCTATTTTCGGCGGCGGATGGATGAGGTTTCATCTGCCTTTGAGGTTGCACACTCGTTTACAAAACAAAAAAAAAAAAAGAAAATAGAAATGGTGGGAAAAATATAAAAACACGCGGATATTCGTAAGATAAGGGCTCACTTGCGAATTGTTGAGATGTTTTTATATTTACATTTGCAACGGTGATGTATCCATTGCCTTTGCAAATATTTTAACAGGAACGAATTCTATATGTAATAAAATAATATTATAACAGTATACACACTAAATTACCAGTCTTATTACCAGTGGGTTATCCCAGATTGCAGAGGACCTCATACTTCCGCGCATTCGTAATTGTTACTCTGCAAAGATATTTTACTATTTGAATACAATATCGTATAAGTGTATGTTAAATGTTTAATTATATATAATTAAGAACTATTTTAACTGTTTTTTAAATATTAAAAGTCTTTGGTATCAATAATTGGTTGGTAACTTTATCAATATAAATATATATACATACCTACATATATATTTCCGACAGCATAACTAGTTATTTAAAGAGACTTAAATATTTACTGTAGTAAAGTAATTCTATTAAGGATTAAAATTAAAAATTATCAATGTTTAGTGTTTCGAATATATATATTATTAAGCATAAATGAATCCCAAAACGAATATGATAACCAAAGTTATGTTGTAACGAAATCAGTATAAGAAGTGTATGTGGTGATGCCACATGTCTGAAATGGTTGTTTAAAAATGATGATAAATGTATAGAAATATGGAATAAATACCTAATAATCGTAAATAAGTGTATTATTTCTGTTAAAAATGTATTTTAGAATATTCATCGATTTATAACCAGGGTTCGTTTTTTATCAGTGTTAAATATCTTTAATAACACGTAGTATAAAAGTAAAATAAAATTTGAAAATGTATAGTTCCTTGGTTGAAAAGAAATAATTTATATGAATATATATAATACTTCGAAGGTGAATCAATAAGAATTGAGCCTTTATCACCTAACTACTCTACCAATTTGAATGTTGTAGTTAATAGGTATAATAATATAAAATAAATAGATATTTGGAGAGTATTCAATAAAACAAATCTTATAATACATATAATATCTTATATTTATTAATCTTAGTTTATTATGTACAGACAACAGCAGAATAATTCAATCGATTTCGAATTTAAAATTAACGTTCCAATGTTTAAAATCAAATGAAGAAAGATTATAATTTAATATATCTGAAGTTAACACACAAGAACACAAAAAGTATTTTTTTACAATCAATTAACATCCGGTTTCTGAATTGAGAATTTTAAGTTAAGAACGTCTCAAACTGCACCTTAAAAATCACTTGAACAGCTAGGTGATGTTTAAGGTGCAGTTTGAGATGTTGATAACTTAAAATCCTAAGGTTTGATATAACTAGGACCCTTTACCAGTGAAAGTTAAAAAACCTTAGTTATTGAGAATAATCCGTCGAGATTTTGCACTTTTCTCAATTCACAAAGCTACTGTGCGGCTTAAATCAATTGTAGTGAATGAATGAATGAATAATAATTTTATTTGCATATATCACACACACATGCCAGCAATTATAAAAGTTGAGTGAATACAAAAACAGATAAAATATGAAAGAAAAAAAAATAAAAGATAAGTCTGCATGTGTGTCAGAACGATGCAAAAAGGCAAAAGCTCAGTAATATGTTTAAGTGTCCTTTTTAAATAACCTAACACGTTATTAACTTATTAACCGTACATCTCGTAGTAATAAATGTACCTAGTTGATTTCTCTGGACTTACCCGCGTCTTATTTTGATTTCCGTAGATTAAATAATATTTTTAAATCAGTTCAGTAGTTTTATATCAAAGAAATAAATAAACAATAGAATCTTTTCTTTATAAAATATAAGTGTAAAAATTACACAGGAACAATTAATAAAGCTTAGAACAGTTATACTTTAACTTTAAGTTTAAATTTTAAATTTATTTAATTTATTTTAAAAATCGATTTATAACAATTATTTAACGACAACTTAATTAATATTTTTATTCGTTTTTTTTCCCCGCTAAAATATACATTTTAAGTGATTGTGGGCACCGTAGACAGAAAAGAGTTTCTTTTGTCTGTCTATGATTCATACGTAGTTTTTTGAACTCTATACAGTAAAATTCTATTCTAATAGACAATTGGTTTTTGAGATTAATTGAGCACATTTTTTATTTTAATTGAAGACGGGACGATTATTTCTAGTGTGATTTTCGAAGTAGTTTTTATAATACAAATTTATTTTAAATACTTTCAATCCATTATCCTTGAAAGTGTAACGAACACACGAAACATATTTTTAATTTGAAAAATCTGTTTGGAATCCTACTTATTTATTTTCCTATATGCTTGCTAACTTAAAAATTTTAAACGCCCAGGAATCAATAAATTTATACAATAAACTCAGAGGAACACCTCATATTCATAATAAAAATCGTGAGTCAACTAACACAGAAAAATATGATGGCGCCCGTAATCAAGATGGCGCTTGAAATTTCCCGCGCTGCGTTGGAGCTTTCGCCGACACGTTCGAAAACCTGCGCCTGTGATATATTGTGCGCTTCCGGTTCCAATTCTTCTAGAACTGGTGATACGTCCGTGTAGTCAGATGTTGATGGGATTTGGCGACCAGCTATAAACAATGACGTTTAGATTAAATCTAATTATAATGGCGGGTAATTTAACATACCTAAGTTTAAATAATTTTGAGCAAACTCGGTAGCCTTAATCTGCTAATTACTTATAAGATCCAGCAAGGGCCATTTGTCAAAACTATGACAGATATGGCACAGTTTATTTATTTTTATTTAATGATATAGAGTTAAATTTTCATCAATCATGCTTATAACTTTTAAATAACGAACATAATAAACTAGACAATCTAATTTGCTAATTTTAAAGAATACCAGGAGAATACTTAATATCACTTATTCTTTAGAAATGTGTTTACCTCCAGGCTCTGTTGCAAAATGTAGGATTGCAGAAGGTTTACTCCAACCGAACCTAAAAACAAAGCTTTCGTTAGAAAATGTTAATAAAGAGATTTCCACTTTGTGTAAGTTTAATAAAAAACGAGGTTCGACATATGCTGTAGTTTGTTATTTGTTTAATCCTTAACTTGATTCATGCCATCTATCTGTCCATAATTTAATCCACATTATATAAGAATGATTTCTGGCTACAATAATGTTTAAAAGCCGGTCGTTTATGATCGAGGTTGCGACCATTTTTTATAGCTATAGCTAGAATTGTAGCTTTAGTTTAAATACATATGTATATATTAAGCACTTTGAAGTGCGCCTTTTAAAACGCCCAATGTGTACTTAGTGTTAGAGTTTGACGGTCCGCCTGCAGATTACAAATGTATATGGCATTAATTTCACTATCAAGAGATGACGCTAATATGAAGATTTTGTATCATATGATGTACATAACCTCCCGTAGGCGTAGGTGAAATATTTTTTTAAATTAGTCATGTATTTTCGGAGCCTAATCGATACAAACTAAGAAATCTTTGTAATATCAGTATAAATATAAGTAAAGCGTCTATTATGAAAAATTGGAGCCCTCTAACCTAACCTAACTTAATTTTAGTATAGAAAATGTACCCATTAGAAATTATAAATCCTGAATAAATCTTAAACTGACCTGTTTCTAGAAGTGACTATAACCTCATACACTGTCGCGGGCGTGAGTCCCCGCACTGTGTATAGGGCGGTGTGTATTGGACCCGCGCTCGAGTCGCCCGGGACCACTATTTTGATCCAGTGGTTGGCCGGAGCTTCAGTGGTAAACGAATCTGGTTCTGTGCTCAGACGACCGTAGTATGGCCGTATCCAGAGGTTGTATTCTATAGGATTTGTTAAGAATAAATTAAATATTTGTTTTTTTATGTAAAATAGGTATATTATGTTTAAATATGTATTTTTATGACATGTTCTGTTCAATCTACTAATAAAATAGACTTGTAATATTATAAAATATAATTATAAAATATGATTTTTAATTAAACAAATTAATGAATTCACAGAACATAACTAAAAATCAAATAATGTCTTGTCCGGAAATTGATATTGTGTTAGCTTAATAAGAAAAGTTCGTTTGACTAATCTTGATGTAAGGTAGTTGCTAGTTTTAGAAACATTACGTATTGTTCGAGACGCGGTGACGTGATGTCGTGTGCCCTGAGCAATGTGATAGTGAAATTGAAACTAGAAGTTTTATCACAAGAAGAAATTTAAATTTCTATCATAATATAGGTACTTAATCATAGTATTAAATAATTAATTAACTACTTAGTCAACGCGACTAAATCTTTCCTAATATCAGCTAGTTCTAATTGTTAGATCTGACAATATTGTAGTCTTGCTAATGAAGTTTTTGCAAATTGTCATAAGATTAGCAAAATGGCAGTTATAATGGCGATTGTTATTGTATCAAGATAAGAAAAAAAGCTTGTCTAGTATTATACGTATACGTCTTTGATATTTTTATAACATTTTCGTTTCTTTTTGTATTTTTTAATATTAATTGTATCAGACATGCTTACCAATGATGGTCGAGTATGAGTCTACTTCCCATACTAGAGTAAAGCTGACAGGGGTGGCTTTATTCAACGTATGATCCACTTTAAATGACGCTATGTTTGGAACACCTAGAAAAAAACATAAAAAAAACATAAATAAAACAAAAAAAAAAGTTAAATAATTCACAGTATCCGAGAAAGATAGAATTCGAACCCCATTCGCAATATTTCTGAATAGTCTTTGACATGTCTTTTGGTGGATAAATCTGGAATAAACTACATTATCGTCTCTCTTTTTATAATAAATATTCGTTCTTTGTTATTAAAGACATAATGCTTTATCATCGCTAAGATATCTCCTATGGCTAAAGTTATAGCTAGACGAATTAGGCGGTCGCTCTGGACTCGAACCCATCTCAAGGAATATAGGACTCGAACCCACAAGTTTTCGCAATCCGCAATCGTTAAACATATTTATCTATATTTATTGGGAACGCTAAATTATTCAAATATAATAAGCATTATAAATTAAACGTAAAAAAATCTTTAAATGTTATATGTAACTTTCGATATATAGCTTTGAATATCCCAATAATAAAAGTATTGAAAGAAGTCTTTTACATTGACTTTGGACTTCTTACCGGTGAGTTTGAACTGCACATCAGCCATACCAAATTTATTCTCAGCACGGAACGTATAGTTGCCGAGATCTGACTTTCTTACTGTCCTGAATATAAGCTGGTGAACATTGTCTTGAACCATTATCACCACCCTGGAAAATGTCCATGCATTAATTCTGCAAGACTACTAATAACATTTATTTGAATAAAATTTCTTATATCTTCTGGATCACGGACTGTCCTATCATCATCATCACCATTCTGTTAATATTCCAATTTCTGGGGCTCAGGCCTTTATTATGGATGGAATCTAATCAAACCGAATAGAGAGAAGTAACGACCACAGGTGCAGACATTTTTGGTCACCCATCCTATGACCGGCCTTTGTAAAAGTTGCTTAGCAACCGTATCGTAGACTGAACAATCCTTGTGCGCTTCTCAACTCGAATGCCCTAAAGAAAGGATCAAATTGACCATAACCTAACACTCCAACCCAGTGCGGATTTGTAGGTGTTAACTATTGCAAATGTGATTGTTTAATATCTACATCATCAGCAGGGTTTACTTTCGTACCACGTTGATAGCTAGGTAGATATTATACTATATAACTGATATAACTAGGCATCATATATGATTAATCAATAGATCAAGTCAAGGGTTTCAATAGACTTATTTGGATAATAAATATTTTCCTGTACCTGTCGTCAGTCCGTACCGGTCGTCCGTCCCGGTACCAAGTCGTGGTTGCAGGAGGAACAGCGAAGTCTAACCGCGCCGCTAAAGACGCGCGCAGACCTATCGCCGTGTGCACGAAACTACGCTCCGACGATACCACGGGTGCGTCTGCGATATATACAACTATAGATGCAGTCTACTGGTAGTAGGGTTGCCAAATCTTATTCGAAGAATTAACGAGTGCTTGGATGATTCGTCGGCCCTGTTAGGTCCTGAGTAGCTCAGCGGTTAGAGCAGTCACGGGTTCGAGTTATTTGCGCTTTAGAGCGCACAAATAAAATATTGTTTATTTTTAAAGTTACATTTTATTTTTTTAATTTTTTACTTTCTAAAAATTATTTGTTCTCATAATAAATGATATATGTTTTGTAATAAATAATTTACTAAATATATTCTTTCCAGCCTATATTCTTTCCATTATCACCAGACCTTAATCTGAAAAGCATCCAGTACATCATCAAGTACTCATAAATACGGATCTAACGAGCCCAAACACGATGCAGTTGCACCATTTCATCATCAACTTCTTATGACCACCTTAGGACTCCATCATCATATCAGCTAACTGACAATATTATATTATCATCTGACTTATATGTCTTACTTATTTCAAATCTATCGAACATTGGATTCAATTTGAGTTTCAAAATAAGTTGAACAAAAGCTTGTAATAAAAAAAAGAGTAAAACTGACTTCAAAGGAGGTAACTAAAGAGTACGCATCATCATGGCTGTACATCTTATACAGGAGAGGTGACTGGCACCAGTACCTATAATTCATATTTTGTAAAAAAGAGGTCCTTGTTCAGGAGTGGCACACGAGAAGGATGTATACGCCAGGACACGATTGGCAATCATAACTGCTACATAGTCCACCGCTGTTGCTGTAATAGAAATCCACCACTCGGTCGTTCCGAAGGACAAAGGAGTTCGAGATACTAAATTTTTTGTCACCCATACATCGCAGACCGAGCGCGCTAACCACTATGCCATCGATCTCCTCGCATTGTGCATATGTACATACATATAATACAAATAGTACAGTGCCATGCAAAGCTCTTGATTAAAGCCAGCACAGCATTTTTGAATAAATTATAGAAGTCATTCACCCAGCACAGCAACAGTGATTGCGGCAGTGACTGGATCTCCAACGCCATTGTTGGCGGAGCATTCGTACACGCCGGCCAGCAGCCGGTGCTCTGCCCTGAACCGGAGACGAGAGCGCGGCTCTAGTAATGCTAGCGGCTCACCCTGCAAAAACAAGATAAAAGAGGTTCAAATGTCTTATATCGAGTCCACGAGGAATAACCACACCAAAATAACGGACAAATGCAGAGCCAAAAGATAACTGTATGATGATTACGAATATTTAGCAACCGGAAGACCGAAGACGAGATGGTCTGACATAGTTCAAGCAACCGGCTTTCTTTTGTCTGTCCGTCAGGTATTAATAATTAAATAAATTACCATAATACACTGAATTGCATGATGTCACGACTTTATTTATTTTCTACATAATTGTAAGGAGTATCTTCAACTTTAATGCCTATTATCTAAGCCTACGGTAGGCAACAGCGATATCTTGAAAAACCTAGTTTATAATAACAACGTCGTATTATTTCATGTCTATTATCAGTCGCAAAAAAATTATGAGCACTACAATACTACTTTAAAATGAACTACTTTTAAACGCAGCTCGCGAACGCATTTGCACACTAAAGTTTGGCCTACAACATGTCCAAGGTTGCCCATACCTGATCTAAGCCATTACTTGTTAATTTAAAGCAAAAAAAATACGTATCTAATATTTTCCTATTATTTGACTGACGGACTAAGTAGATTTTTTTTACCCGGGTGTTTTGTACGTAAACACCGATAAAGAAAGAGAGAAACGCTTCATACTTTTACTGCTTTCTCTTCTTATGAGTAAGTCATTCAGTTATTATAGGGCCACCATGAGAACTCGCCATACTTCTTCAAACTTCGCGTCAGTCTTAGATCTCTTTCGGTCAAAACCGTAACTGTAGAACGCCTGTACCTATACATATGTGTATGGACTCACGTTTTTCTTCCAGTTGACGATAGGTGTTGGTGTGCCGGTAGCTTCACATCCTATATCCACGTAATCTCCCTTGCGAACTTCCACGAAACCATCATCTGGAATAGTTCTGACGGTCGGAGAATCTGCAAATAAATTATCGATAAAATATATTGGTACTATTTGAATACTACTATTTGTTGGTATTGGTAACATTATTCGATAATTACTGATCTATATACTTAATAGAGCCTCAAATTTTACCAGATTGTCCTAGTTTTGAGAGCATCCTTAAAATGTGTTCATCTAATTTGCCTTGTGGCACCACTTCGTTCGTCCTGTAAATACTTACTATTTATGTGACAAAAAATACTCTGATTACTATTATCTTTAGTGCTAATGCTCATTAAGCGAAGGTGACAAATCACTTTAAAGATTCAATAGTTAGTTATCTCTATTAGCTAAGTTGGTAGATTATCCGCCAGGGTAAGATCACTAGTTCATTCCAGTATGGTTCAGAAACATTTTTAAAATTAATCTTCCAAAACAAATATGTACCAAATTTTTATGAAATTACCAATCGAATAGCTAGCCTTTTTTAAGAACTGTTTCTGCAGACCGAACACTACATTGACCTCTCGAATACATAAAAATCTATGGTAGATAAAATAGAGATACACTTTTTATTAATAATCAAAGTACACCATAAAATAAATTAATAACTGGAACTTACATTGCACTTCTATCAAATGTGTTTGACGAATGGGACCCCATGGCTCAGGACGAATCACCTGGGAGCATAAATAATTATAAAGAAATCCAATAGAACTATTAAGAGAACAAATTTAAACAGAGGATTTTTTGAAGTGTTCTTTTAGAATGCAGATCGAAATCTTATAGCGTACAACTGTAAACTTTTCATATTGGAAATTTTAACGCTCCTTACGGATATAAGGGACGCTCTGAAAATACTCGTACAATTCAACACTACTTCGCCCAAGATTCGTATCACTATAATATTACAGATAAAAGTTTATGAAGGTTGAAAGCTAATCGAAACAATAAGGTAACTAAAAAACATGGTTTGGATAAATTCCAACAGACTTGGAAACGAAAGCTTTGTTTTTTGTCATTAAAACGGTCTCTTATACTTCGGCGTCTTATTAAAGCGTCTAGCGGACGACTCACTATAATCAGCTCGGGTGGTCTGGCTCCCCAATAAACGGCTAATTAGTGCTTAACCAACGACTCGGTTAACTACTCGTATCCGTTCTGAGCCGTCGAATAGGATGTTCAATCAGACATCAAAACTTAATGACGACCGATTGGTCAGGTTTCTAAAATATTTCTCTAAAAGTTGTTCCATTTTTTTGGCTTTTCAGTATTACCTACTAATACATTCTTATATATTTATTATGATCATTCAAATCAAAAAGATTTTTAAATCGGTATATTATTAACAAGGATATCGTGAAACATACATAAAAGGCAACATACAGTCGATCTAAAACCTCCTTCGTTTTAGGGATAGGTTTTAAAGTAACTTAAAAACTTATAAAGTCGATTTAAGCAATCTGCAGGTGCGTCCCGGCCCTAACATTAACATGTAATCGGGCCAATTGTGAGCTTATCAAGGAAGCATCATTTACTACACGATTCAAATTGAGTCATTAATTTGAACATACATTCATAATAGCCTAGAGCTTTTATTTTTACCGGTCAGTAACAATAATACAAATAAGTTATTACAATCTTTTATATTATAGAACGGCAGGTGTTGACTATTGTTATACAATAATAGAAATCATTTGTCATAATCACGAAGCCACTAAATCAAAAGAAACTTGTTCAACCGAAAGACTGATAAAATTATTACCAATACATATCGGTAAATAGATGTAACAAATTGCTGAAATGTAGCTGTTTACCCACGACTTTGGCTGAGTAAATTATTGTATGTGCTTCCCGTAGGTGAAAAAAATTTAGTGACTCACAAAAATAGAAACTTAACATCTTCATATTATTAGAGCAGACAAATGGATTTAATAATAATATCTATTGTACCAGAAATTTAGTTTACTTTCGAGAATGTTAGTTTTACTTAATTCTTCCGAAATATTTTTTTTTTTTGATATTCAAATTAAAAAGTTCAGAAGAAAATAAGTTAACGTTTTTTTATTGTATAAATAATTTATTAGCAAACCGGAGGTGACAGATCTGAAGGCCTACTCTGTTTCTCCGAAAATGAAAACTCGTCTATTTTCGAAACCCTAACACAACTGAAAAGGGACAAATTTTTCGATAAGAAACGGAGGTGGGACCCCGACACTGCTTCTGATGAACTGATAATATTTACGCATATGATTTTTAAAAAGTTGTAAGAACGATTCGATTTTTATAATTTTCGTTCGTTGACAAACAGAATATGTTTATTTTATGATTAATGAGAAAGAACTGTGAAATCTAATAAATTTAGCAACGAGGAACTCCGCTGGACTTTAGATAATAAGAAACAATTTGATTTAAGATTATTAACAATTGTGGTAGCCTGACACGCATTTGTACTATGTGCACATTCCAAAACATTCTTCACGCTAAATTTCGCGGTCTGTCAGAGATACAACAAAAGACGATCGAAAGAGTTGGCTTAATTGATTAATTGCATAATTGGGCTACCAGTCTATTCAAAACTTCGTTTAGAGAAGTGGTATGAATTTATCGATACGTTTTTTTCTTTTACTGATAATACTTATATGTATTTTGAAAATATTAAAACGACTCAAAAATCTATAAAAATGAAAAAACAATACAAGATTCGTTCAAAGCCCCACTTTAAAACATAGAACAGTGGTTAGCGCGTTCGGTTTTTTGCCCTTATACACTTTACATTTGAGATTAACCCTGTAATTGCATAGATTGGACGACTTCCGTAGTCTAGTGGCTTGCATTTTCAAAAGTCCCGATTTCGATTCCCGAAAAAAAAATTGAACCCTTCTGTATAGCCTAGGATTTAAGTGTGATACTTTCGTTGTCTTATTTCCATTTTAAGGCTAAATATTGACGTTGACATTTGCAATCGTAAGCGTAAAATTTTTATATGGAACAAAAACCGGAACATTGCTTCTAGTGTTGATTATCTAGAAGTGTGAATTTTTATACGGTCCAAAATATGAAAGCGCTCGATAGGAAACATACTCACTCACGCATATATATTTTTATTTATTTATTTAATATTTTAACTCAAAAGTCGATTATTAAATTCGTCATTTCGATACCCATTTTAGTCACGTCACTAGCAAAGTGCGCGTTAGTTAAGATCGAAGGGCGGTTCTTTTAAAACAGTTTAAACTAATTGCTATCTACGTTACAAAGTGGTTACCAACACAGATCGTTTCGCAATTGATGCCAACAAAAAGTAAATTGCTAGGCGCACTTGTTAGTTTTTTTTATAAGTACGTAATAAGAAATGTTGTGGGAAAATGAAATACCGTAAAAAGTGCCCATTACCTATTTAAAACACTGTGGAGCTCTTTGCCGCTGTGGTTACTAGTTGGATCACCCATTTTGGATGTAAAACAACATTCGTAAAGGACGATAATCTGATCACTCATCAGTATATCAAAAATGTATTATCTGGAGTTGCACCATGCTTCGGAAGACGTTAAGCTCGCCACCCGGCTAACTCTTCTGACCTTAACACGCATCAATCCGTACTGGGCCTGCTTACTAGGTCATAGCCAGTTCTCCACATTGCATCCATAGGGTGGATTCCTCCATTTGGAGTGGAGTAATTCATACCCTCTGAGGGCACTCATAGCGAATTTTACCAGGTAGGCCGGCCTCCTTTAAGTATGTCCTTTTCGATCAATAATAAGGAGTGGAATTATTATTTATACCGAGAGAGAGAGAAAGAGAGAAAAAAAGATATATTACCTCGCAGGTGTAATCAGCGCTGTCACCAGCTGCTAGTGAGTCCACTTGTAAACTGTAGTTGGCGTGCATCCTTACTCTTGGCGGGAGCAGATGGTGAGCGTCCATACTGTCGCCAAGTAAGGTCGTATCCTTGTACCAGCGCACGCGCAACCTGCTCTCTAGAACATAAAAGGAAGTGATTCAATTGCTTTAATTTGTGAAGAGAACTTATGATAAATTGTAGTGTAAACATAGTCATTACCAATTCGTATTCATTTCTTCATACGCGTAGGAAGTAAAAAAAATATTACCCAGTACAAATATTGAGTTGGTACATAAGTAGGTAATAAACAATTATTATATCCAAAATATGCTGCCTCCATTATGATTTGACTCCATCGTGTAGGCAAAACTTTTCTTATAGGTCTCCCTCAAAAAATGCCATTTCAGACAAAAAATAATCGAAACGGGTTCACTTTATTTGCTTTTATTTTTGTGAACATCTTAACACTACATTGTGGAATGCAACAAAATAAATATTGCATTTTCAATCATTTTAATTTATATAGCATATCGTTTAGCGCTGTCTATTACTAACAGTATTTTTAACTTCATCATCATCATCAGCCCTTTTACGTCCCCACTGCAGGGGCTCAGGCCTTCCTTATGGATGGTTAAAAAGGATGGGCCATGACCCCTCCACGCTGGCCCAATGCAGATTGGAGGGTACTAACAACTGCAAATGCAGCCGGGACCAACGGCTTAACGTGCCTTCCGAAGCACGGAGTAGCTCGAGATAATAATTTTTTGGACACCCATCCCGTGACCGACCCTCGCGAAAGTTACTTAACAACAACGATCGCGGGCCGCGGCGTTTATCCCCTACGCCACCGAGTTACTCTATTTAACTTGAGATTTATTAAAACGACCTTGGATGCAAGAGATTAGTTTAAATTATAATATCTAGAATCCGACGAATAAAAACACACTGTACCTTACTGTAGTTTACCGCCCACAAACGTGAAGAAAAAAATAAATGTGATATATTGTTATCGAGACGTGCGGTTAAAATGTTGGATTTATATTTGAAAGCTTCGTAATATTATTTGCTGGTATAAATTATAGTAAGTACCGACAATAGTCTGTTTTTTTAGGATTTGTAACCAAGCTACGAGTATAGCTCATGAACCGCGATAGCTATACAGCTATATAGCTATATCTGTTTTCTAGCACTTATTTGCTGTAACAACAAATAGGTGCTAGAAACCAGAATATAATAAATATTAAAGTGCGGCTTCCATATAAAAAACTCATTTTTGCCGTCTTATAAAGATATCTGTTTGAAACCTTTCGTGCACGAGTTCGACTCTCGCTTGGCCAGTTTATTTTAAACATCAGGCATTATAGACTGCTTATTTTTACGTAATAATCTCATCTCAATGGAATGAGGAAGTATGTATTAAAAAAAAACATTAGTTTCCGAAATTAAACTAGATGTCGCTACAGTACTTTCTTGATTTCTCCATGATAACACTTCCGGTTTTCTTTAATGTATAAAAATAAATTAATAAACAAACAGCTCAATAAACAACTCATATTCTATTTGTACTTTTTCGTATTTGTATTGATATATAAGTTTCGAACTTTGCAGATATGATTTTATTAATATATCGCTCATTTGCGACAAGAACGTGTTAACGCAAATATGTATTGTTATTGAATAATAATACAGTAGAATTCGGCGCATCGCGCTCTACTTGCTGCTAAAACGCGATATTTCTAGCGCCGAAAATGACCGAGTAATGAAGGAAAAGGATGGCGACTATCGGTTTAGCGCTATCTCTTTCCGCTCCTAAGTTCAATGCAAGATCGGTTCATGTCAGTTGTCGCCGCTCGCTTGAGGAGGAAAGTGCTGCCTGGTTGCGGCAAAAATGTAACAGCTCATGGTGTCACGGTTTTGTTGAAATGGTAAATACAGCTTTTTGTTTTTTTGGTGATTTATTTTTGCAGCTATAACGGGACATTTGTATGTGGCTCATAATTGTAGTAAAAATAGTAATTGCATGCTATGGTTTAGAAAGGGTTGTACCGTTGTTGCTGAAATAAACAATTATTTAATTTAAATTTAAATTATTTAATTGGTTAATTTGAGATGTTCTGTTACAGTTGATAATAAAAGTACAAAATGTTCGGTACTAATGTTGGTTATCTCAAATTAACACTTTCTTGATAAAAAATAATACATTTTTACAACGAATAGCTTACAATGTTGCATTATAAATGATAAAAATATTGAAAATTTATTTACTGAAATTCCAGTCTTAATTACACAATCTTTGAATTCCTCTTCCAATGTCACTGAATCTATTTTAAAGGCAAGTTGAAATAATTATAATAGCCAATTTCACTTTCAGCACATTGATTTTAACGATATAATAAAATCTTTTAATCAGCTAAAGAAAAGAAAACCGCTGATTTATGGGATAATTCCATTGAAGTATCTAAATCGGTAATTGAGACAATAGCTCCAATCCTAGCTTATATATTAAATGAATGTACTGATTGTGGTATTTTTCCTGAGCTCATGAAATATAGCAAAATTAATTCTTTACATAAATCGGGTAGCACATCTGACCCAACTAATTTTAGACCTATATCCGTGCTACCTACATTTAGTAAGATTTTTGAAAAAATCATGCTGGATAAAATACAAACATACTTTTACATGAATAAGCTTATGAATCGACTACAATTTGGTTTTACAAGGGGTCGCTCAACAACCGAAGCCGGTGTCGAGTTAATACTAGAAATTTTTAATGCCTGGGAGGATTCACATGATGCCTTAGGTGTTTTCTGTGACCTATCTAAGGCATTTCATTATGTTTTTCATGAAACATTGATTAGTAAACTTCATTTTTATGGATTTTATTGTCTCGTACTTGACTGACAGAGTACAGAGGGTTGATACCAATGGCATAAGATCCCCTGGGTCGAAAGTTAAGATGGGTGTTCCGCAGAGCTCAATACTTGGTCCTTTTTTGTTTTTGATTTATATAAATGACTTGCCTTATTTCGTAAGGGATGATCACGAAATAGTTTTCTTTGCGGATGACACTTTACTTTTGTTTCAAATTAAAAGAGGGTTACCTCTAAATGACGATGTGAACAATTCTATCGCTAAAGTAGTACATTGATTTAATGTAAATAATCTTCTTCTTAATGAAGGAAAAACAAAATGCCTAATATTTGTACTACCTAATGTTAAAAAAGTAGATATAAATTGTGGATACCACGGTATTTTTAGAAATAAAATTAGATTTTAAACTACAGTGGGGCCCATATATTGATAAATTGTCGAGTAGACTTAGCTCTGCAGCATATGCCGTAATGAAAATACGTAGGTTAACTGACATAGATACTGACAGATTAGTATACTTCAGTTACTTTCATAGTGTAATGTCGTACGGAATCCTATTGTGGGGAAGTGCTGCCGACATACAAACAATTTTTGTTCTTTAGAAAAGAGCAATTAGATCAATTTATAATCAGAATACAAAAATAAAGAGATTTCTACGACAGTAACATGTCTTTATTAAAATGTTCCATGCCTTTATATTAGAGATTATCAATAAAAACGTAACAATACGACATAACTTGTAAAGGTTTAGATTTTAATCCATTTTTTTTTTTCATGAAAATCGGTACATATCTGTTTGTTCTGCAATACTGGATTATTTTTACAAGAATAACGCAATAAGGAGGACCCTTTTTTAAAAAAATAATCATAATAAATTTAATAACTAACTTAAAGGTCTGAATGCAATTTGATCCAAAAACCGAAAACCTTGAAGTTATGTTGTATTGAGCTGAACAGGCTTAACAAAATAATTAAAAAGTTACAGAAATTTCAAACTTTCAAGAGCGTTTTATCACAAATTGAGATTTTTACTTTGTCACGTTCTTGTCGCAAATGAGCGATATTATGTTAAAACGAACGGAAATTCGGCCATCTAGTGAGGTGCTTTTTAGTGCTTTCTTTTTTTTTCTTAAATACTTCCTCATTGTCATATTGTACTATATTTATCCATTATCTAATATTATAAGTGCCGATCAATAATGAATGTCAGAAAATTATAATTAATTTTTTGTCATCTAGTAAAAAGAACTGTGTTTTGTACCAAAAAGAGAAATGTTGATATTTCAGCAAGTTGTATTAAATATGTTTAATGGAAATTAAGTTATTTATAACTTGTATTTTATTAAAATCAACACATGATACGACATTACATTACTTTTTCCTAGCATAGAGTAAACGTCAAATAACAGTGTTGCCACTCGTATGTATCGATACACGACACAAATTCATAATTTTAATATTCATATGTTTGTCGTAGTACAGGGAAGGTTAAAACGGTAAGAGACGATACGAAGTACACCGGGTCATCTAGTTAATTAAATAAAAATAGTTTACATTTACTTTCCTATCTCATATGCGATGCAATAACCAGTTTTTAATAAAATCGCAATGGTAAATAACGGCAATTTTCATTGGAATTGTTAGTGGCCTGAGAAGGAAAAAGAAAAATTGCTTTTTCCGAAACTTTATACAAGTCTTTGTTTAGTCGAAGAAATTTTTACACCTCACAAGTAGGGGCCAATTCAAACGCAACGCACCCAACGCCACAATTGGATCACAAAGATATAATCTGGACTCTCTTCCTGCCTATTTTAACGGTAGGTACCAACGTCCAATGTCCACTTACGATGGACCCGACTATTTGTAAAGAATAGGCGGTATCAAAGGAACGACCGTTATTGGTAAAGTGAATAACTCGGTTTATGAATTTCATAACAGTTTTTTTTTAACACAACACAGAACTATTTAAAAATATTTGGACTTCTTTTTAAGATCGAAGTTGTATGAAATTTAGCACGATTCAAATTTATTTAGAGAACAATTACACAATGTGTTTATTTACTTAGTTTTTTTATTACTATGATTCTTTTAAAATATTAAAAAGGATGCTGTACATAATAAGAATAGTGTAAACAAAGAAAATATAGAAAACAGTTAACGTTCGGTACTAATGGAAGTATTAGTAAGTACTTTGCTAGAAATAGCGTGGGATAATTTATCCTAGTTTTAATTTTTTGATTTTTTCGTAAACTGCAAATCTCTATGCATACTAGTAGAATTAATCAAAAAACCATAATATGAAATTTATACTCTACATTATTTGATATAACAGTTTTATACAAATAGTATTACTTATTTAAGCTTTTTTAATGCATTTAGTCATTAGACTATCGCAAAAGGAAACTTTTTTTAGATAATGCGTTAATAATGAAATATTTCTTTTTCTTTTTGTATTCCTAAATACGATAAGTTTATAATCTCGTAAAAACTATTGTTTTTTTGTTCTGTTCTGCTATTTTAACGGAATACCCGCATAATGCGAATCGTGCACCAAAAAATCGCAAACAAGATATCAACGCGATTCCGGTCCTGCCGCCACAACAGAGTCCATTCTGTTGCCAATTTTGATAAAATCACAGCTGACGATTGAAATATTGTATTCAAAAATGTTTCATTCATGTTTTTAGTTAGATGTAATCTCGATATGGGGCGGCTCTATTGTAGGCAGTACGTGTTTAATACAAAAATGTGGGGCCTTTGAAGCGTTGTGTGATTTATAACAACACGAGACAATAATTGGCTGGAGTGAAACTGTGTGCTTAGATTAATTCATGGCTGTTTGTATCACTGAACACAGAGGCGTTTGTATTTTATAAGAAATAAGTTATCGGTCAATTAATATTTCATATCTTAAGGTTAAGGTAAAACTGAAAAAGGTTATATTAGGTTGTATAAAACCTTAATTTTGACATGATAGTAATTTTATACGGTAGCAATTTAAACATTTCAGTGGAGGTCGAAACCAAAACCACAATATCATAGAAATGAATTCCAAATAAACCCAACTCGCAACGAGAAAACAAAATCATAACACAGATACACATAAACTATATCATACTTATTGCATTTCTCCTTTTGAAGGTGCCTTTATTGAAAATATAAAAAGTTACCTCTGTACAACTTTATTAAGGTTCCGTAGTAAACAAGGAACTTATAGTTTCGTCATGACCGTCTATCCGTCCATTCGTCCACGGTTTAACTCGAAATTGGTACTAGAAAGTTGTAATTTGGCATGAACACAGATACACATATGTGTACACGTTAATAATGCCGACAAAGTGGTAGAGTAACGCTAGGAAAAAAAATTTTGGGTGTTTCCCCACAAGTAAAGTAGGGATGATAATTTTTGTCTTCCTCACAATGTGGTACATTGTTGGATAAGTCTTTTAAACGCGTTGGTGGTGTGGGAAGACCGTTTTTCGATTTAGTAAACCGTTTCTGACTTATTAAGCTTTAAAGGCCTGATTTTCGTTTAAAGAGTCAAATGTCGCCTCCAACCCCCTCTACCAACTTCAAAAAAAACTTTCTAAAAAATTTAACTCGAAAATTTCGACAGCAAACGTGATTTTGTTTTATTTTTCGTTTTATTTTTCAGCCTTTCTTTTTTTTTTGGAAAACAAATATAAATCCTTAGACATACATAATGAAGTTGTTACGTGTTTATCTTTGATTATTTTACCCTCTATAATGATACGGTCGAGGTAAAGCTATTTACAATGACGTTTATAATAATTTACGCTTACCAACTAGAATAGATTAGAGCTATGTAGAGTTTCAAGTAGTTTTTTTAATAAGAAATTCCTCTATTTAAATTATGATAATTATTCAAATCGATTTGTTGATTCAAAAAAGTCAAATTATTGAACCGAGTATAATGATTTTGTGTTTGAAAACAATCCATTATATTTATTATGAAGGCGTTTGTCTCTTTTAAATACAGCGTCTAACAGTAGAGCAATTCTGTCAATATTATCCTCCTGGCGCCCAACTCAAATTTTTGGTAGATGTCTAAAACGCCCAATGTGCTTAAACAAGTACATAAGCAGTTATAGCGCTTGACGCCCAAACATAAAAGCGTCTGAAAAACTATGATACAATGATTTACTTAACGAGATATTTTTTATGTGCTTTAGTGACATGGGAAAGAATATTATTTCGATTATCAAAACCAAAAAAAAAAGTTCTTGATGAAGAACATTGGGCTGGTATACCTAAAGGAGGTATTTTTTTATGTGTTCTGGTGAGAACATTGGGCTGTAATATATTGAAAATACTGAATGGAAATTATAATATTTATTGCGAATATTACACACAGACTCATTATTCTTATAAATTAATCACGTTTTTCTTAAGAACTATTATTTCAGTCTCAAAACTGTTTGGTTTATTAACTACAAATCAAGATTTAATAAAAATAATAACACGAACTAACAATTTTTCCCTAACAAACAATAAATGTAATACAAATTTAACAAAAACATTATTATAATTGTTGTAGTAAACATAAACTAATAAAAGAAATGTGAGATCACATAAAAGGAACACAAAATATTTCTTTCTCGTTTTACAAAAAAATTAAGTCATATTCAATTAAAGCTGACAAAAATTTAAACATTTAGGAATGAAACAGCCAGTAACAGTTTCGCTCAGAAGTCAAGCATAAAAACACATTACAAGTACTACAATGAATTCGAGACTTTTTATAGTGACATTGTCGGCATCTAGATTGCTTATCAGCAATTAAAGGCATGTGGCCGGCCCCCTGCACTCGTTTACTTTTTGATGGTAGAGGAGCAGTTGGTCTACCTCTTCCGCGTGGTATATTCTCCTCCAAGTCAGACCTATTATTATTTTCTTCACAATTTGACATTGAATAAGTATCAATTAAATACTCTCCTAGGGCCATTTTAAACGCCCTCAATTGTAAAATTTTTTTTGCCGGAATACTATTTTTTAATTGGTCTTTTTTGTAAATGATCCATGAATTAGACACTGACAAGTCAACCATATGAGACAAGAAGCGTTGTGTCCATTTCTTGGTGCGATATCTGTATGGACATATAGCTATTAGCCTATCAGCTAGGTCAACTCCACCCATTTTACAGTTATAGTTACGTATTACTCTGGGTCGAGTGACTGGCACATAAACTTTTTCTCGCTTACACCATCTTCGACATATGTCAGACTCATGAAAGCCCTCTACTGATGACAATAAAGTGACCGCTTTGTTGTCATACCACTTTGTTAAAGCTATTTTGTTATCATGCCGTACAAGAACTTGACTGGCTCCCCTACCAAGATCTTTCAATTCTCGGTCATCCTTCAAAACTAATCTAGCTGCTCCAGGAATTTTGTTTTTCATTATGGTGCCTGAGCACCCTAGACCTCTATCGAGGAGTTCATCAACCAACCTTTCGCAGGTGAAATATCTATCGAAATAGAGGACATGACCCGGTACGAGCGAATCGGTCAAAGTCAAAACAGCTTTCTCCCCAACGCCAAATCGAGATTCTTCGTATTGAGGGTATGTAGTATTTCCCTCGTACACATGAAAATCGCAAACAAGACCGTCAGGGTTAGCCAAAACAAATATTTTCAAACCTTCTGGATTTGGTTTCCCAGGTACATACTGTTTTATGCCACAAGAACCAGTGAACGGCACAATCATTTCGTCGATACAAAGCACATCTTGTTTCTCTTGAATACGACAACCTTTTTGAATTCGGTCAATAAGTGGTCGCATTTTCCATAGTTTATCTTTTAATCGAATGGCTTGATCAACTTCATCATCAAATACTAATTTGAGTGAGTTCCTCAGCTGTAAAAATCTATTACGTGACATATTGGACGAAACTATATCCACACGCCACTTGTTTTCCCAGTACATACGTATTTGTGGGTAATTTACACTAGCCATTACCAATGTAATACCCAAGTATAGATAACATTCCTTTCTATTCAAATTTAAACTTCGGCCAAGTAGTTTGACTGCAGTTTGATTGGTTTTTGCAACAATTAGGTCCACTAAATCACTATCTATGTATTGATAGAAGTAATCAAAAATGTAAAATTCACGTGTATCATTCACCAAGTATGAAGGCTCTGACCTATTAAAATCTATTGGAAAGAAAATACTATCTGTCCAAATAGGCATTGAATCGCTAGAAGAAGGAATTTCCTGCGTACTAACCGTGCCATTTTCTGACATATTTTGGACGCGTGCGATGAACCACGACCTCTTCTAACACTGCCGCGACGACCGCCACGGCTACTCAGGACACGATCACTTCCATTACCCCGAATTCTCCGGTTGCCCCGACTTCCATATCCGTCATGACATGATCTTCGCTGTTCTCTTCACTTGAGCTGGATGAAGTTCTCTCCTGCGGAGCCACATAAGGGGGATCGTCCAGATCTTCGTCGGATGGCAAAAAATCTTCTAAATCAGAATTGGCCAGTAAGTTTTCGATGTCCTGTTCTCGCATCCCTAAAACATATAATATGTATTAACGCTTAATGTACTTCTATAAGAACAAAAAGTAAGAGACAGTTATTGGAATATACGCTCGTTGTTCTCATACAAGAACATATAATTACGAAGCAAAACAAAACCACTTAAAAAAACGAATCTGACAATAATATTACAACGTGCATACACTTTAGTGTTTATTCTATATAATTAACTAAGATTTAGAGACTTAACTTAATTGATTACTTGAATAATTAGAGATTAAAACTTACCCTTACCACGCGTGCGTTCCATGTTTGCAAGTCCGATGTGTTTTGACAAGTGATTTCCGATTGGATCAGCTAACAATCGTATGATCGAAGTTCCGTAACTATCCACCAATCAGAAACCACTATAAAAATATGACCGCTCGCGGCAAAATTGAAAATAAATGAACGGTAACTATTTTGTTCTCGTGTAAGGCCACTGGGCTGAAAGGACTTCGTACTAGCATATTGACCTGGGCGGCAGTCATGTACGACATTATGTCCTAGTCTGAGGTCAGTGGGCGTCAGGAGGTTATCGTAATTATAAAACCCGATATCGCTTCAACTAAAACTCCTGTTTTAAGATCATAAAATAATAAATATTTCTGTTTGACCACCGTTGATTTGTGAGCTAGATATTTTGAACTAATGATATTCGAGTTTAGTTTTTTAACAATCTACCTGACGGACAAACGGACAAAAATTAGTCGTCATCCCAATTAATTGATTGAATATACATTATTGCATTAAAAACAAATACATAAAACAAAAATAAATACAAACATGCAAAAGGCGGGCTTATTTTAAGGCTTCATTAAATGTAAGTTTACCTGGTAGAAATTGCTTAAAGGAAACTATACCGACTAAGGGGGTTAGTGCAAAAGTAATTTTTAAGGGTTCAAATAATAAAAGCAAACAGTCTGTCTGGTAAGCTATGCCGCCTCCCAAATGCGAGCACCCTAGCCGATTGCCTAGTTTGCCGGACGGTATATGGACGGACCGGTCCTGGGTCTCGTAATAATCCAATCCTCGAACCAGCAGTTCTTGTAAACCTGAAAATTAGTAAGTTCACCATTCGTTCTATACCTAAACATACGATTTTTTTTTCATACAGCCTGAAATTTACTCAAAAGTCGAAAAATGATTCGATTTAAATACAAAGGTGGTTATTATAGTCATGCATACGGCCTTTAAAAATAAAAAAGTCGAGAGGTAATCTGCAGCCGAATGTTTTTGAAAAATCTTATAAATTCGTGTATTATTATATAATACTTTCACAAATCGAGGACCCATTTTATGTAACCCTAAAAGCTTTCAATTTCACGTTTGCCTTACGTATGCACTATTTATTATGCAAATGATATTATAAAAGGTTATTTGTCTGTGCAGATGTCCGTTGTTTGTCAGTGATTGATAGAGGTCTCAGATTAAGATCAAACGCTTTTAATATTATGATTGACCGTACGAATCGTACGATACTATATATATTATCTATATCTTTACGCTAGAACCATGGCAATGTAAGTAGAGTGAACTGCTATGTTTGACGTCGAGTACATTGCTGTCCAAATCTACTTTAAAAGGTAATAGCTTCTGGAGTGCTACCGCCTAATTCTCAATAGGATATGACATCTCAGTGACATTACGGCAAAATTTCGTTTCGTTACTACTTTGACATATCTTTTTTGGGATAAACTACTAAGTTGTAGTAACACTGCTGTCAAATCTATATACATAATTCTTTATAATTCGTTCATCGTTACTTAAGTACATTTCAAGTCCTATCCTGTGGCTTGAGTTACAGCTAAAAGTTCTATACACGTAGCCGACTCGCCGCCATATATGGATATGGCGGCGAGTTGATAATGGCGCGCTTAATTGACTTATATCGATTAAATTATAGAACTAACACCTATAGTGTCTCGGTTTAACATAATCTTCATGAATTAATCTAACTGTATATATAAAGTTGTTTATATTTCCATTATTCATAGCTATAAAACTGTTTGAAAGTACTATTATAAAAAAAGGTATGTATGTATGTTTGTCCACGGATATCCCGCAAACTGAACGTCGTATTGCAATGATTCTTTTTTTGAGCTTTAAACTTAGGGAACACTAAAAGTTTCATCAGAATCAGTTCAGTGGTTTTCAAGATATAAACTATTACAGTTTAACCGACTTCAAAAAAGAGGTTCTCAATTTCACCTGTACGTTTTTAACCGTCCTAAAAGAAATGAGTTTATCAGTTTGACTTGTATGTTGTAATTATGTTAAAATATAGCATAATATTCATATATCTTAGTCTATATGACCTTCTCAACACATATGTGTGTCTTTATGTTTGTCCACGTATTTCTCGTAAATTGGACATCGGATTGAAATGATTCTCTTTTTGCTTGATCAACTATTTATCAAGTGAACCTTTAGGGAACAGTATAAGAGAAAACTAACGAAATTAATAAAGAAACGAACTACTACCAAAATAGCAGCTCAGGTAAAAACTTCGACACTAATAAAACGCATTGGCGCCAAAAACGTATTGCTGCCAGAATAGTGGTTTAGGTTAGAACTGCGACCCTAACAGAAAAGATTTATCCAGTAAATATAAGTTTGTTTAAATACAGATGAAACGATCGGTGACAACCTTTATTACCTATTAAAAAAAGAAAGAAAGCTACTATTTTATACAATTCAAACGAATTCAAAAATATTGTATTGAATAAAAACAACTGAAAACAGACAAAAAATACCACAAAATGTTTATCTTAAATAAAAGCGAAACACAAAAAGTGGATCATCAACAATTTTTTTGACTAGCAGTTGTTTCTCTTTATTACAATATTTTTTAATTCGGTTTTATTTTTTTTATTGTATTTTTTTAATATGTAGTACGCGTGAAATATAAGAAAAAATCCAAAGGAATATTTTTTTTATCACGATAAAGAAGCACAGCGAGCTAGGCTCATCCGACTTTCCTGACTTTGAAGTTGAAATATTTCTTTATAAGTTATTTTTTGTTCTTCTTCTTCTTCTTAACTTTAATGGTACTTTCAACTGCCTTTTCAAAAATGCGGTTTGGACATATTTTTCTTTAGTTTTTTTTTATTTGGGGATGACAAGAATCATAGCACATACAGCATCAAGTTTAATTTTTATTTAACTTACGTTTAATTTATCTTGCTTACTTGCATTAAGTGAGATAATTCAGATATACATGCTTACCTGTATTGTCGACATAACAGGGCAGCAAAACAGTTTCATTTTCATATGTTTTGACAGTAACAGGGACACTTTTGAATGGATTGTTTTGACTACTCGTTTTGTCTATTGTAAGCATCACTAACACTTGAATCACACATTTAATATCACACGCCATGGCTTTTTTCAATAAAGCTTACTTAAAAAACTTATAATAGAAACCTTATTTTTAATTAATATTCGCAATTTCAGCACCTTTAAATTAACATTAATTTATTGTCAAGTTTAAAATCATTGCATCTTGAGTATTAGGTAAGTATTAAAGTCAAATTCAAAACTTTCTCGAGCTAAAGCATAGTCAAGAGTAAAAAGTTTAAAACAGTAAAAAGTTTTCAAGTTTAACCAATTTGTACAAAAAAACAGACATCCGGGATTTACGGTCTGACTCCATTCTTTCAAAGGATTAAAATATAAACTACATTAACTAGCTTTTTGCCGAAAAAAAACAAATTTAAAACCGCATTAAAAATGTATTGATTAATTTTTATTACAGAAACTTAAAAAAAATGAAAAATATTTATTAGGGTGTAACTAAACGTGTCTTAACTTACACAATCAATGAAAGATTTTTAAGAAATTACAAGCAAATTCAATGAAATTCAGAAGTAATATTTAACAATAATTATTTCAACTTTTTAAGTACAAAAAAGTACAACTAACATAGATGTTATTTTATACAATTGCGATTACTGTTAATGTAGTCGATTAAAACCAACTTTGATTCCCGATAGCGTATAAAACGCGCACGCGCAATAGCGGGAAACGCTCGAGTCGAACTGTCATTGCTTGCGCGTACACAGTCAACGCATCCACAATGATTAACCTTAACCTTGGGATACACCGGGAGATCTTCCTGACATAAAATCATATAAATTTCTTACGTTTTCACACGAATGACTACCCAAAACAAAGTGTGTGTAATATACTCATTTATAGTTAATGTAACTAACAGATTTTTTATATTCTGCTATAACGTTTTAATTAGTATTAAGGGTCATTTGTAGAGCAATAATCAATTCTATTAGCTATAGCCGAACCTCGAAAACCATGGATTACGGAGATAAAACCCTCATATAAAAATATATCTTCAACCGCAGCTTATTCGTTGGATTTCCATAGAAATTTTTAATTATGATAATTTGTACCTAGTGATCAAAATTATAGCTGGATGCTTTCCAAGCAGCAAGAGATCTGGAGAAATTATACTTACAAACAATAATTACTTGATCGGAAACTGACATTTCATTTGGTCTAATTATATTGAGGTACCTATATTATATACATATTTAATCTAAAATTATTAAATGAAATCATAACTGTCATAACCTACAAACTGTGATGGCGTGAAGTTTGTTTAGCTCTCTCGGTGTATCCAAGCCTTTAGGTTTGTCGTCTTAATTAATTGTATCACCTTTAATTTAGTCCAAGAAAGACGTCCGTCGGTCTGACAGAAAGGCTTAAATAGTTGGAATGTGCCATTGAACTCTACCAGAATAATACAAATTGTTTTTCCAAATACGAGTTCATGCTTCTAACTGTGGTGGGCTTAGTTAGTTTATAAAAATACCTATCTGACATTTAAGTATACGTTAATACCAAAAAAATCCGATGTAAACAAATCTAGATTCAAAATTGGAAAAAAATATATTTACTTTCATTTGAATTAGTAGATATGAATGTCACAAAATATTACAGCTTGGTTGCTTAGTAACTTTTTTCAATTCATAGAGGTTTTAGAATATAAAAATGCATGTAAAAGTATTATGTTATCAAAAACAATTGAACACAATAGGTAAGTTTATTTTTATTGTTTAAGATTCTCCGGATCATAGTGGGTACTAAGACGTAGATTATCCACACCTCTGAGATAATAAAATTTAAATATTAATTTCCGGTAGAGGCCTGAACTGTAACAATTCCAAAAAGATATATGGATAAAATAAAATGTAAGCTTTAATAACATTAAAATAATAACTATTCAAAGTTATTGGTGGTGGAACGAATGTGATTAATAAATATCTGTTTGGACCAGTCAAAGACCTCATGTTTAAGTGGCTTATATGCTTGTACCTATTCCATTTAGTTGTGTCACGATTTTATATATTATGATATATAGATTTGTAAACCACTCTTCCATATTTTAATAATAATAACCGAGTTTAATTCAACACTACTTATATAAATATCTATTAATATAAACAAACATGTTCGTGTATGCGTACGTGTGTATGTCCACGTGTATGTGTGTGTGTGTGTGTGTGTGTGTGTGTTTGTTTACGCATATGTGTGCGTGTATACGTATATATGTTATCTGAAATACGTTAACGATTTATTATATTACATAAAATATAATGAGGGGTGTGTGGGTATTCGTTTCTCCCATTCCTGGGTGATTTAGATGACAGCATCATCTAAGACTCGGTAGCCTTGACCCAACTAACTGCTACACACTGTACGTCTCATGTATTCTCTTCCAGATCACCATTTATTTGTCCATTGGATATATGCTTCTCCCAACTCCCTCCAGCGTTATCTGCAGATTGTATCACGCATCCCAGATTTGCCAGCTGTTTGGACAATATCATCCAACTCTCTTGTATTTCGCCTTACTAGTTTCCTTCTGAATGATCGTGGCCGCCATATATCTTTTGCCTCCAACATTCGTCCGAGAATATCATTATATGGCCAGCAAATTGCCACTCCTCTTACATCCATAACACCAGGCCGTGTACGTATCTCGGTGTTTCTGATACGATCACGAAGAGATATCCGGAGCATAGATCTTTCCATGGCTCTTTGACTTACTTTGAGTCATAGAAGTTGAATCAAATATAATCTACTTCAAAAGATTTTATTTCATTGAAACTCTATGATGTGACAACGTTACTGTGATGTGACGAAGTCGAGTTCTTGGCTATTTTTATAACAGACTTTTTTTAGATCTTAAGGACTACGTACTTTATCGATGTTCCCTAAAACAGAAGTAGTTACCTAACATTAAAACAAGAAATTACAAATTGCCATCAAGATAAAAATTACAAAGTCAAACCTAAAACTCATCATAGTTTTAGGATTATTTGTATCGTATTTCTTTTTCTATGTAATAAATTCTATAAACTGTAATTTTTACTAAAACAGAAGTGTTACATGTATGATGTAGTGTTCACAGTTTTTATATTTGCTTATTTAAAAGTTATTTCTACAAAACGCGCCCTCATAAATCTCTTAATTACAACAAATATGAAAAACTTAAATATAGACATTTGTGGTACTTAACCTTATAAATGTAACATTTTATTACTCTTACTTTACCACGTTTTATTTTTAATTGGATTCTCTAATAAGTTTGAAATAGCTGAATGTCTTTGTTTCCTTTGCCTGATACGCTGCATTATAATCAGATGGGAATAAATAAATATTTTGAATGTTATTATTTTGGTAACGAATCCGATCATTCCGATGCGATAAAGGTTCATAACTACCGCCTGATTCACTAATATCGTAAATAATAGTTCGTTAACACATACTAGGGCTGCCTCTAAAGTGTTGTCGTCAATATTAAAACGGGAAAAAAGTTAGAAACTTTTCTTCTTTATAATATTAGTATAAATAAGTTTATATTATTTTATAATGTTTCATTTTATTATTTATATATTTAATCAATGTTTTCTGAAAAATATAAAGTTGAGCTAAATTAAAATTATAAAAATATAAACTAATTTAAACAAACAAAGTCATTTCGAAAATTGATGTAAACAAAAATGTTTGATTTGAGATGTATTTCATAAAAGCTTATCGTTAATTTATGAATATTGATATATATGATTTTATAAAATCTATGGTCTTATCTTACCACCAGGATTGAATCCAGCGATTTTATAAATAAAACGAATTATATTTTATTTTACCTTTTTAGATCGATCGAAAAAACAGATCGAAAAAATAGAAAATGATTAAGAGTCCCGTAACACAACTCATACAGATTGGAGGATGGGTGGCAATGATGAATTTATCTTGAGTCTTGGTGGATAAATCAGATATTAGAAACTTAGAATCGAGCATTGCATATGATGCTTATATTTATTTAATCATTAATTACAGACAACCCTAATGACAATGAATAACTATCCTAATTTTATTTACAATGTATTTATAACCTATTGAGTTTTCGACGATGCGGCCGGCCTAACAACAGGCCTAAAGCTATAAGGACTATGATAGATCATATTTAATAAGCTATTAGGTACATTCTGAAATAAAAGTGTTCGATGTTGATAGTTTTTTTTTTTTAATAATGCCGCATCTCCGTCATAACTAATTAAAATACCGTTTTTTTTTTTACATTTTCACACGTTATGAAGTGTGAGTAATACAGAAACGCATGCAGTGCTTTTTTACACATCTGCTTAAAAGGAGAGTGTATTGTGTAGTTGCTTCCCAAAATATTTTCTACTCGTATGAATTAACATGACACCAAACCTATATCCTATTTCTTTGAAAGCGAAATTTCGTCTATTTTTTTCAATACTAATACAACTCTAATTTATGAGGTAATGGAGGTTCGACCTGACACACTCTGATGCACGGATAATTTTCACAGATATATGATTTTAACAAAATTATGCAAAAGATTCCAAATTTTCTAAACTTTCATTCGAGAATAAATAGAATAAGGCCCAGTGTCATGTTAATTTGTAAGAGTATATCATAACCATGTGTCTTAAAGTATAAGATACTGTAAATCCTTTTGTTATTCTGATGATCGTAGACCTACGTAGCCAAGCTCAAGCTCAAGCTCAAGGTTTCAAGGTGTTGCAATTACTGAGATTCCAGGTTCGTTGTAATTTTTTTATATTGTCTCGGGCCTTTGTACCTTGGCTGTCTCAAATAGTCCATAATATTAGCCCTTAAGCTCACCTCGTCCTGGAATCTGAACATTTACGTGATATTATAATTATTTTTTTCTTATCTAACAACTAGCTTTCCGCCAGCGGCTTCGCCTGCGTGGTCTTGTATTATACATAAAAACCTTACTTTTGAATCACCCTATCTATGAAAAAAAAACCGCATCAAAATCCGTTGCGTCGTTTTAAAGATTTAAGCATACACAGATATATT